CACGCTTGCCTGACGCGCCGCCTCCGAGGCGCAGCGGGTGCCGGGGCAGGTGCGGGGGCGGGGGCGGGGGCTGAGGCGGCCCCTCCAGAGCCTGGTTGAGCCCCGTGCCCACCTGGGGACGAACTCCTGACCCACGTCCAGAGCCTGGGTCTGAGCTCCATGCCCACCTGGAGACGCAATCCCTGACCCACGTCCACGAGCCTGGGTCTGAGCCCGTGCCCCACCTGGGGAACGCCTCCTGACCCACGTCAAGAGCCTGGGGTCTGAGCCCCGTGCCATCTGGGGACGCACTCCTGACCCACGTCCAGAGCCTGGGTCTGAGCCCCGTGCCCACCTGGGGACGCACTCCTGACCCACGTCCAGAGCCTGGGTCTGAGCCCCGTGCCCACCTGGGGACGCACTCCTGACCCACGTCCAGAGCCTGGGTCTGAGCCCCGTGCCCACCTGGGGACGCACTCCTGACCCACGTCCAGAGCCTGGGTCTGAGCCCCGTGCCACCTGGGACGCACTCCTGACCAACGTCCAGAGCCTGGGTTGAGCCCCGTCCCACCTGGGGACACACTCCTGACCCACCGTCCAGAGCCTGGGTCTGAGCCCCGTGCCCACCTGGGGACGCACTCCGGACGCACGTCACTGTCCACTGGATGTTGTACACCAGGACGCTGGCCGAGCACAGAGGTAATCGAGCTTCCTTTGCTGTCCTTGGTGGACACCCCAGGGCCATCTCAGAGCAGTAAAAATTTTTAATTGAGACAGGGTCTTGCTCTGTTGCCTGGGCTAGAGTGCAGTGGCATCATCACAGCTCACTGCAGCCTCCAACTCCTGGGCTCAAGTGATCCTCCTGCCTTGGCCTCCCAGAGTGCTAGGATTACAGGCATAAGCCACCGTGCCCAGCCCACAGTGTTTCTTTTCTTTCTTTCTTTTATTTGTTTTTTACTGACCCAGATCCAAACCTGCAGAGGGGTCAGCCCGCAACCCCACAGTGTTTCTTATGTGCAGTTTATTCCTGTCTCCTATCCACTCATGAATTTAGTAGGAAGCGATTATATCATAACCTGGGGTTCTCCCTCTCCTGGTTACTTTATAAAACATAGGGGGTATTTAGTCAATTGCCATTTTCGTTTATACTTGAAAGTGTGTCTCAGCTGTTGTTTTGCCCTTGGTCAGTGCCCTTGGTCAGGGGGTCGGGCAGAGTCTCCGTGGGCCGGCAGCAACTAAGGGACAGCAAGGCCGGGAGCTCAAGTCTGGGCTCCGTCTGGGCCTCACCACTCATGAGGCAGTGACTCCTGGCAGATGGCTCAGTTAGGGTCCTCAGTAAGATGAGGACAAGATGAGGTAGATAATAGAACCTTCTTCTTAGATGGTTGAGTTAGGGGCACCTGGAGAGTAGTTGGAATGGGGCCTGCACCACTGAGGCCGCAGGTGTGTGTGTGAGCGCGCGCATGGGGTGTAAGAATGTGTATGTGCGTGTAGTGCAAGTGTGTGACTACATGTATGAGTATGTGTGTTTGCATGTGCTATGTGTGAGCATGTGCATGGGTTGTATGTATGTGCTTGTATATAGTTCCTATGTGTATATGCATGGGGATGTGTGTGAGCATGAGTGTGGAGTGTGAGTGCATGTGCGTGTGTGAGCACATGTGCACATGTGTGTGAACGCACACGTATGTATGTGTGGTGTTTATTATATTGTGCCAGGTGCTGCTTATGTGCCCTGAGTGGCAGCGTGTAGCCTTTATCTACAGGTCAGATTTTTTTCTGTATATTTAAAGCGTTTTGCTGGAAAGATTATTGGGTTTGTCCTGACGGCACTTTGTGTGTCATTAGCGTGTGCATGGTGTGTTGGTTAATCCAAGTCCTGTAAAGGAAGTGCAGTGTTGTGAGAATGTGTCATACTGGTGCTGGCGCAGCAGCACCAGGTGTGTGTGGCCGCAGCTTCGCACCTGCAGCACCGTGGAAGGCTGGGGGACGAGGGCCTGTCCCGGTGGCCAGACGCACTCGCCTGTCTCCCCACCAGGAGAGGATCCGGGCCCTGGAGGTGGAGCTGCAGGCTGTCGGCCGCAGCAAGGAGCTGCTGGAGAGCGAGCTGCAGGAGGTCATCGCCACCACCGGCCAGGAGCTGGAGGAGTCTCGGGAGAAGGTGCTGGAGCTGGAGGATGAGGTGAGGCCCAACGCCTGCTGTCGCCATAGCAATCAGATGGTCCCTGGGCTCCGAGGCAGGCCCCCATGAGCGTGGGCCCTACAGAGCAGGAGAACCTCGCTGTGCGGCCAGCACTACTACCTGGTGCTGCCGTCACCTTCCGTGGTGGAGCGGGTTGTGATCCAGCCCTCCGGCGAGGACAGCTGTAGTCACAGCCTCTGCAGTGGAGGGGTCACTGGAATTCGTAGGGGAACCTTTCTCTCAGAATGCTTTGGTTGCAGATAAGAAATCCAGCTCAAATCTTGAAAGAACTTCTCAAAACTCTTAGGTTCAGAGACAGTTCTTGCTTTGGGCTCTGCTGGCAGTAGCTCAGCACTGTCACCCAGAGCCCTTGCCGAGCCCTTACTACCAGCCCCTGGCTCGCCCTTCCAGCAGAGTCCCCGGGGCCTCTTAGTCACCCGGGGCTGCGTATGTCATTCACTCATCTCTGTCCTGGCCTCGGCACCGCGTCCACCCCGCTGTGTGGCTTGACCAGGGCCAGGGTTGGCCCCTGGACGGCCTTCCTCAGAAGCACACAGGCCCAGGAGTGGGCAGGGTTGCTGGCCGTGGAGAGGCAGGAGGGGGTGAGGAAAGCCACCCCCCACGGCCACACGGCCCAGGTCATGAAGTGGGGCGGTTTGCTGCTTGCGGTTGCATGCTAGTACTAGCTCTGTTCACGTGTTCCCGGGGTTTGTGGCAGCCCCATGTTCACGTCTGCGCCGGTGTTTCAGCTCCAGGAATCGAGAGGCTTCAGGAGGAGGATCAAGTTCCTGGAGGAGTCGAACAAGAAGTTGGCTCTGGAACTGGAGCACGAGAAGGGGAAGCTCATGGGCCTGGGGCAGTCCAACGCGGCTCTGCGGGAGCACAACGGCGTCCTGGAGCGAGCGCTGGCCAAGAGGGAGGCAGACCTGGTCCAGTTCAATCTCCAGGTACTCAGACCCGTCACCAGAAGCAGACAGCGCTGGGTGGGCCTGGCAGCACTCCGGATGTCCAGATCAGTTCCTCCCACCCACCCTTGAGGAAAATACAGCCTCCCACCCTAGAGATTCGGAGACAGAGGCCCAGAGTGTGGTGGAACAGTAGCCTGAGTCCCAGCTGTGAGGCGCAAACCCAGAGCACCTGCCTGTGCGTTGATGGTGCCGAGTCCATCCTGGCTTTGGGTGTAGGTGGGATGACTTCCCCTTCCAGGCAGTGACATCGTCTGTAGGGGACGTTTACCTGAAGGCCTCAAACTGATTTCAAACCCCAGCCGGGGTCCCGCTGTGCTCCTGCAGCCTTTCTGCTGGGGGAGATCTCCACACTGGCAGCCCGAGGCCAGGTGGAGCCCCAGCCTTGGGTTAACCTGTCCTGAGACAGTCTTCCCTGCTCCCCACTCGCTTTGTTTCGAACCTGACTGCCTCACCCCCCGCGTTGCCGGCCTCGCTGCAGAGGCATCAAGTCTGAACCCGGGTCTCTGGGTTCCCAGCCAGATTCGGGAAGGTGACCCTGTGACTGTGCCACAGCCACGGGTTGCTGGTTTGGGAACGGTGTTCTTTAGAGACGGAATTTCCTCTTCTCCAACTTGTTTCCTCCTCTGCTGTGAGCTGACTGGTCCCCATCCTGCTGCACCTCCCGCCCGGCACCGGCTGCTGCGGCCCCGCACTCTGCCCTGGTTTCTTCAGGGGTTTGGAATTTGACGTCTCTTCTTATTTATGTTTCTGCGGTGCCTCCTAGGTCCAGGCGGTCTTGGAGCGCAAAGAGAAGGAGGATCGCCAGATGAGGCAGCTCGTGCAGGTGCTGCAGGCCTCGCTGGAGAAGGAGAAGGGGAAGGTCAGCAGCCTCATGGAGCAGGTGTGTGCCACCTTCCCGCCTTTTGCTTTTTGTTAAAGATGCTGCCTCACAGGGCCTTGTGGAAGGCGTTTCAGTGCCTGAAAACTTACGCGGGCACCCCTCACGCTGGAGCTCCCCTTCCAGAAAGTTAGAGAGGGAGGTATCACTGCCGTCGTCGTGAAGGTGGGTCGCAGAGCTCCCGGGCTGGTCCGTGGAAGGAGCTGAAATGAGATGCAGCCGTGAGGCCTGGGCTGGACACATAGCATGTTCACGTGCCTATTCATGTGTTGCCAGGAGAAGGCATCTGGTACGTAGTGCTTCCTCAGGAGAGCAAACTTCAGAATACTGTGTGATCCCATCTGTGTTAAACAAGCCAACGAGGAAGGCGGTTGTGTTACCCTCTCCTGTGTCGGGGCCGTCTTTCATGGCTGGCTCCTTTCCACGCTTCAGGTGTTCACTGTGGTGTCAGGTCAGCCGTCAGACCCGCGCTGACCGCCAGGGTCTCCACACCAGGGCCCTGCCCCCAGACCTTCCTCTTCCTCTGCTAGTGTGGGGCTCCCTGGTACATGCCAGTGCCCGGCACGGAGCAGGTGCTAAGAACACATCTGCCGTGCGTGTGCATGTACGGCGTGTGTGCCGGCATGGGGTGCAGTGTGTGTGTGCACGTGTGTGTTTGAGGCTCATGTATGCGTGGAAAATTTCTCGGAGGAGCACAAGGAATAGCTGTGATTGTCTCTGGAGAAGGGTAGGAAAGGACACGTGGCTTTTCCTTTCAAGTCTGTTTGAATTACTTTGCGACTTATAATTACTTTCCCAGTTCAGAATTTTCAGCCTAAGAATAAAGCTGCTTTAGTCCCTATGACCTGGCTTTTGCCATATCCTTTAAAAACTTACCTATGATAACGTAATGGAGATAAAAAAAAAAAGAAGAAGAAGAAAGTTCTTGATTTCTTGGGTGAGACAGCATAACTTCTTTTAAAATACAATTAGTTTTAAGATATGGTAAGAAGATTTTATTTTTTTAGAGACAGGGTTTTGCTCTGTTGCTAAGGCTAGAGTGCATTAGCGCAATCATAGCTCACTGCAGCCTTGAACTCCTGGGCTTAAGCGATCCTCCCACCTTGGCCTTCCAAAGTGTTGGGATTACAGGTGTGAGCCACCACGCCTGGCCTTCAACTTTTTAAATAAAATACTGGCTAGTGCTTTAGACAAGAAAACTAAACTATTGGAAAATAAACTTTTGGTTTTTGTTATACTCTGAGAATTTGCTTGTTTTCTTGGAAGCCTTGAGAGAATCCATTGTTAACTGTGAAAAGCAGAAAAATTCTAGAAAGGAGGTCTGTTCCATCATGAATGGTAAGAATCAATAGTGTTATCACAGCCAGGTAGTAGGGTGGAAACGCAGCGTCCTCTGAGAGGGCCTGAGCTATGGGTACGTTGAACTGGAAACACGCAGATACACTTGAAGGAGACCACGCAAACTGCTTACCAGGGGTTCTCAAACTTTAAACAGGGGCCAGTTCACTGTCCCTCAGACTGTTGGGCCATTGGAGAGAGCGGTGCACATGCCACACATGCGCACTGTGGGCCCAGGACGAGTCGGCTGCTAAGCAGGACAGGCAGCAGCGGCAAAAACACCCGGCGGGCCGGATAAATGTCCTTGGCGGGCCGTAGTTTGAGGACACCTGGTTTAGACCAAGAAACAGATTTGTTCATTCAACAGACACTAGCAGCACACAGCGTGTACTCCCCGCTGCTTGGTCCTGTGCGTCGGTCGTCGTGAGAACTTGATGCCCAACTATGGCGGCTGGGTGTGGTGGGGTCGGGAGGGGCTTCCCCTCTGCCCTGGGCCCACCACAGAGCTGCGGGCGTCACAAGGGCGCTGTGTGCGCTGATCACGTGGCTTCCTTCCTCCTAGGTGGCTGCTGCCAGGGCAGAAGCTGGTCACAGCCGCCGCCACTTCAAGGCGGCCACTTTGGAGCTGAGTGAGGTGAAGAAGGAGCTGCAGGCCAAGGAGCACCTGGTGCAGAAGCTGCAGGCCGAGGCCGACAGCCTCCAGTGAGTGCAGGCCCGCGCAGAGGGGAGCCAGGAGCCTGGCCAGTGTGTGGCATGGTGGGCAGGGTCGCTGCCTCTGCCGCTGGCTCAGCACGGCAGGCTCGCCTCTTCTCTAGCAGATTCCAGCAGCCTGCCAAGTGTGTCAGAGGCAAATTGAAGGGGCTGGATACCCCGACTTCTGTCTCCAGAAGCTGAGTTTCACTGTCTCGCTGCCCTGTGCTCGCTCCCCCAAACCAGAGGGCACCCCGCGTGAGCGTGTACCTCAGGGCCACGTCCCGGGCACCGAGAGGGTCGTCACAGACCCCTCACTGGGGCAGCGTCGAGTCAGACTCATGGAGGCACCAGCCGGGCACAAGGTCCTGGAGGCTCTGGAGGCCACCGCTCCCTGCACGGTCTCACAGTTACTCGCTGTCGAATGTGGACGGTGTTAGCAGAGCGAGATGGTGCATCCTAAAGCACCCAGGACGGGTCCAGCGCGGGGTCTCACCGGGACGGACATGCTCCACAGGCAGCATTTTCCAGGGGGAGGGCAGGTTGAAAGGACGCAGTGATTCCATTCTCATTTGCTTTTTTACCCTAGGTGTCGGGAGGGGAAACATTCCCAGGAAGTAGCGCAGTTCCAGGTGGAGCTGGCCGAGGCCCGGACGCAGCTCCAGCTCCTGCAGAAGCAGCTGGATGAGCAGCTGAGCAAACAGCCCATGGGAAACCAAGAGGTGACGTGCCCGGTGGCCTCACGCCCCTAATTAACGTGGCTCACGGGCTGGACCCTGCTGAGCAGCACGCTGGATCACTGTATGCCCTGTCTGCTTGGAGAGGAATATTTATTTTTTTCCCTTAATGTGGTATTAAAAGATAAGCAGACATACAGTTAGAGCAAATTTTCAGTGCAAGAAAGCCACTTTAAAATTCTTGTGGTCACGTGACTTTCCCTCCTCAGGTGGAAAATCTCAGGTGGGAAGTGGATCAGAAGGAGAGAGAGATCCAGTCATTGAAGCAGCAGCTGGACTTGACGGGGCAGCAGGGCCGGAAGGAGCTGGAAGGAACGCAGCAGATGTTGCAGGTGCCTGTCCCGAGGGGGTCGCGGGGCGTCGGTGGCCAGGGCTGCCTGCCTGGCCGGGAGCTCGTCGGGGCGGTGCTCACAGCACACGGCTCTGGAGACGTGGTCACCCGGGCCAGGTCACACAGCTGGAGGGGGCAGGGCTGAAGCCCCAGCCGGCTCGACTGCCATCAGTCCCGTGAGCAGGCAGCCGTGTGTGACGAGCTGGCCAGTTCGTGACCAGCTCCTCTATGAGGAGCTCCGTCTGCAGAGTTCTCGGCCGCGTGAGGACAGGTTCAGGAACATAATCGTGAACGGATGGCCTGAGTCACAGGGGAATTGATTCATAATACAAGTTGAGCGTCCCTCATACGAGAATCTGAAATCCAGAACTTTCTGAGCACTAGCACGACTCTCAAAGCGTCTGGGTGAGGGACCCTCGAACTGGATGTTTTAGGAAGGGTTAGGCTGCTCGTAGCAGGTGACAGGAGATTCTTGGGGTTCGTTGTAAAATGTAGCCATGGGATGCTGCTGGTTCCTTGGCAGAGACTCTGGAATTTGGGGAGGAATGTTAAGGATGTGGTTGTAACTGCACCCTTCCCAATCCAGTGCTGAGATAGAAACATCGTATACTAAATCCTGTAAAAATCAGCACTGCATGTTCAGTCCCTTTGGCGTCATGACATGACACGCAAACTGACTCTTCATAGTGTGTTTAAGATTTTTAGCTTTTAAAACTCTGACTTCCCTTTCCCAGAATATCAAGTCTGAGTTGGAGGTGGCACAGGGAGATCTGACCCGGACGCAGAAGGATAAATTTATGCTTCAGGCCAAAGTGTCAGAACTGAAGAACAACATGAAGACTCTGCTGCAGCTGAACCAGCAGCTCAAGCTGGACCTCCGCCGAGGCGCGGCCAAGATGGTACGTGGGCTCGCGCCTGTCGTAGACTTGTGTGGACAGAGGTTTCTGATTACTCAGACATAAACAGATCTATTTAACCAGCCCTGAGCAGATGACAGTGGAGTGTCTGCTTGGACAACAGGTCAAGCCGTTTTATTTTGTGGCTTTTCCAAAAGAGTGTTTCTTCTTTTTTTGAGACAGAGTCTCGCTCTGTTGCCTGGGCTAGAGTGCCATGGCGTCAGCCTAGCTCACAGCAACTTCAAACTCCTGGGCTCAAGCGATCCTCTTGCCTCAGCCTCCCGAGTAGCTGGGACCACAGGCACATGCCACCATGCCCGGCTCATTTTTTCTATATATTTTTAGTTGGCCAATTAATTTCTTTCTATTTTTTTTAGTAGAGATGGGGTCTCGCTCTTGCTCAGGCTGGTCTCAAACTCCTGACCTCGAGCGATCCTCCCACCTCAGCCTCCCAGAGTGCTAGGATTATAGGTGTCCTGGCTGTGTCTTAAGAGCCAGATGTAACAGTTGCCTGAGTGGGCTTGGGCCAGGGACTCTGGAGCTGCTGTCATTGTCCTTCCCAGGGTATGTGCATACCTGGCAGTTTTTCTATACCTGATCTGCATAAATATTTCCAGGAGGCAAGTGCAAAGAAATCTCTCAGATTCAAAGGTTTATTTAGCATCATTTGCCTGTCTGTGAAAAATTTTTAAGTCCTAGAAAAGGAAGTCAGATATGTCGGAGAATTTGTTTAATTTCTTAGGGAAATTGAAAGATGGCCACAGTCTCTTGTGGAAAGCTGTGTGAGGGTTCTAGTTCAGGATTAAGCTCTATCCTCCTGAAGATCCAGAACTTAGGTTGGTTGTGCTTTGTTATGTGCATTAGAAATGAGGCTATTTATCCAGTCAGAATTTCTAGAACTCCTTTGAGTTCCTGACACAACAGCGACCGGGTCGGCCCCCTTCCCCAAGGCCCCACGTTGAGCCGGGGAGGCCCATCTGCTGTGAGTGCCGCTGGTGAGACTGACAGGAGGAGGGCGTGTGAAGGCTAACCATGTGCTTTTACAAACAGAGAAAGGAGCTGAGAGGCGAGGCCAGCCCTTCCGGCCCCGCCACACCCATCAAGATCCCCGACTGCCCCGTCCCAGCCTCACTGCTGGAGGAGCTGCTGCGGCCCCCCCCTGCCGTGAGCAAGGAGCCCCTCAAGAACCTCAACAGCTGCCTCCAGCAGCTCAAGTACGTCCCACTCTGTGCTCTATTTACTGGAGAGTTAACACTGTGTTTGACCTGGAGGGGTCTCTCCCGTTGCCGGCGTCGATGCCCAGCAGAGTCTGAGCAGGTCTGTGTTGGGCAGGGCTACCCACAGGGCCTCTGGTTCCAGGCTGTAAGGTGAGACTTGCCTGAAGCTGACCTGCCCTGAGAGGCCCTTAGAAGCTGGAAGGCCAGACACTGTGACTCACCAGTGTGTAGGCCGAGCCTCCGAGCTCAGGGCAGAAGAGACCGATGCTTGTAGAGTATGGCCATGAAGGGGAGTCAGGTGTGAAACTGGCCTCAGGGACAGCTTTGCCCCACAGTGACCCAGAGTCCAGCCCTCAATTCTGTGTCATTCCCACATTCCTGGTGGGGGCAGAAGCCCGAGGCACAGTGTAGAGAAAAATGCTGAGAACACCTCAAGTCCTGCTGAGCAAAGCCTCGGCTGGTGGTGCTGGCCTCTGAGGGCACTAGGAACCAACTCCAGGGCTAGGGCGTGAGCTGCCGTTCAGTTTGAGCTGGTCAGGGATGAGCCCGTGGGTAACTGGTTCTGCGTGGCCTTGTGTGACCGGGGCTTTCTTCCTTTGCCTCCCGCCTGGCAGGCAGGAGATGGACAGCCTGCAGCGCCAGATGGAGGAGCACACCTTCACCGTGCACGAGTCCCTGTCCTCCTGGACCCCGGCGGAGGGCCGCCTCTCGGACCCAGCCACTGCGGGCCCTGCCCTCCTGGGGGACCACGCCAACCCCCAGGGCGACACGCAGACACACAGTCAGAGCAGGGCTTCCAAAGAAGGACCGGGACAGTGACTGCCGCAGCCTCACCACCAGGTGTCTGTAACTGTGGAAAGGAATACTCTTTTGTCAATATTATTTATTTGATTGTGTGCTGTATGTTTTTCTAAGAAATGAAGTTTAAGTTTTGCTTTTGCCTTTAACAAGAAGTAAAATGACAGAATGAGAGCCAAGGATTAGAGAAATAGTCACTTGAATATCACAGTTAGCTTTTCCCACGAAATGGGCAAATCTTAGACACCTAGTTCAGGGCTCAGCGAGGACGTTTTGGTTGTGTCTGAGGGTCACTCGCAGCAGAGGCGGCTGAGTGGCAGCAGCCAGTGTGGGCAGAAGCTGCAGGACGAGTCTGTGCGGCAGCGGGTGGGCGGCCTGCGGGCGCAGCATTCGCGTCCTGGCTCTCCTGCGGACACGAAGTTTCATTTACACCTTTGGCTTTTGTTTTATCAATGTTTTCAATAGCCATCCCTCCACAGGACACGTATGTAAATACTGAAAATCACAATCTAGTCTTTAGGAAGTCTGTGCTCACACGATTGTCTTTCTATTGATTGCCTTTTGAAAATTTGCTGCCCAGAAATAATGTACATGTAGGACTTAGGGATATCAGTCAGAAGATTTTATTCTAAGAAATATAATTATTTACATTCTGAAACCAAATATTCTTACACAGAAAGGGTTCTTTGTTTAGTTTTGCTTTATTTCTGAGGGTCTTTCCTTCCAGCCTGGTCTCTTCCTGTCAGACCACCGGACAGGAGCCGGTCAACCCTCAGTCAGACCTGAGGTCCAGGAGGCCCAGGACTCCAGGGCCGCCTCGCGCCGGCCTGATGCTCAGGGAGCGCAGGGAGAGCCGGGGTGGGCCGAGGCAGGCAGAGGGCGAGAGGAGCCAGGGGCTGCCCGCAGGGACAAGGGGCAGTCACAGCTTTTCTCCAGCGCTCACATTTCTCTGCCCCGAGGGAGAAATCTTCCCCGGGGCCTGCAGGAAGCCTCTGTTGGTGTAGTCATCTAGAGAACCCCCAGACCCTCCATGGTCACACTGCGTCACGAGAGCACAGAGGCGGCGCCACGAGGGAGGCGGCTGTTCTCCTGAGGTGCCTCAGTCACGGGCGCCTCATTTAAAATCGGCACTAAGCGTGTGAGATGCACATTTCTCACAGGGACTGAGTCACTGGGAGAGTTGAGCCTGTAAGTTTCCCCCCTAGTTTGCTAAGAAAATCTAAAACAATATTTATTGGCATGGGTTAGCAGAGAGAGAGAGAGACTGGGTCCATGTGGCCCCTCTCGGTGTTCCTGGGCAGTGCTCATGTCCACGTGTGTTACGTGTCTGTTCTGCGGAGAAGCAGCGGTTTGTGTTCTCTTGTAACATACTGTCAGAAAGTTAACTGATAAGGTTGAGGTGACATTAACCACAAAGACGTTTAGGGTTTAAAAAATATCCTCTAGCAAGTATTTGAACTTCTAAAATACATGTATCATTTGTACAGGGTTAATTTTGAAATAATACTTGAAAACTTCACTATATAAGTTGGAGATCATTTTTGACTAAATTGTTTTTGTACCATTAGAAAGAAAATGGTAACCTACGTTCTTATTTATTTTGGCTGTCTCATCCTTTGTTTTAATTTTAAAACCAAGAAATAACACTCAGACCCGTTCTATGGCAGAGCTGCTTTCTCCTTGCGTGTAGATGGTCTTCAAGTGAGTGATGTTCACGGTGTATGTTTTTCTCTTAGGATAAACTAATTCTGAATGTATTCACCAAGTGAAAGCAGGTCTCTGCTCCTCATGCCTTTCCCCCTTTGTCTGGTTGTCCTGCGTGTGTGCTTGTGTGTACATGTGACACGTGCATGAGAGTGTGTGGGTGTGCGTGTATAAGCCCTCAGAGTCAGCACCTCTCTTGGTGTTCTGTGTCACCCTGGGCCAGTTGTCCCTGGGACCCTCTTCTGGTCCGGAAGGGCCTGGCCTGTCTCTGTTCCCACCTGCAGGGTGAGTCTTGGTTCCCTCCTTGGATTTCCATGCACAGCCTGTGGCTCTGGGCGCGTGAGGCCTCTTGTGTCCACGCTGACACTGCCTTTGGGCTTCCTTGAGAAGCCACCTTACAGAGGAAGTCGGATTTCTAAATTGCCTGCTTTTTTGTCTCCAAGGGACTCTCCTGGCTCTTCTACCTCCCAGAGCTAGATTCCTCAGTGAATGAAGTTTGAATTATTGTTGTTCTTGTGGGCAGAAATGGGAATTTTGGAATATACTCGTGGAAAACAGCAGTCCAGTCTGGAGTGTTACGGGTCGCCGTTGCACCGTATCTGTGCATGTCGTTCAGCCCCACGCTGTGTGCTGAGTCCTATTGCAGGGGATGTCAGCTTGGGCACTTTGTGATGTCACTACCTGTTTTTCTTATGTTCCAAAAAACTTACTGCAGTGTGGTTTTCATTGATTTTCTTTCCATGGTGCATGTCAGACAGATGCCACGGATCTTATCAATTTATGTGCCTTGGTTCTGGTCTTTGCAGTGTGCACCAGGCAGTGTTTTTGGCAGGACGTGAGTCTGACCGTCCCGGGCCTGGCTCCTAGGACGGTGCCCACGAGGACGGCACCGTTAGCCTCGCCTCGCCCTCCATTGGAAACCTGCTTTTCTCGGTACAGGATCCTGCAAAAGCTGTGGGCCTGCAGAGTCACCATTACGGATATTCCTAGTTCCACGAGTATTTTTTTTAACAAAAATTCAATGTCGTGTGTAAAGATTGTAGGAGTGAAAGGGACCAGCATACGCTTCACATTCTTGGAGTAGAAGATACGTGCCCTGGAGCCTTCCTTTCGCACGGCAGGAATGAGGCTGTGACGTGAGCCTTCCTCTGACAGGCTCCGTGACCCAGAGTTCAAGGAGAATCTCATCATATGGTGGTCTCAGGTTACAACAGGATCCTTGAGGGGAATGTTTTAGAGGGTCTAAAATTTAGAGAAAATTCAGTGGTTTTAAGTTATTCATTCCTATTATAAATTTCCTCACAAAAGAATCCTCAAGTTATGGCTGTTCAGAGGAAAGGTGTCACCATGTATAACAAACTGTAACTTTAAAAAGCATGTTGATTTTTATAAATTTAAGTGTGCTTGGGAATTCTTTAAATTTTGTGCAATAAACTATTTTTTGTAAAGATTTTCATATTTCATGGGGGGGCTTCATTTTAATATTCATATTTTGTCATATTTGGGAGTAACTTTTTAATCTCATCTTATTGCACACTCTGTTTTAAAAGATAATTTTACTGTTCTGCCAAAGTTTCAGACAGGATGTGAAATCTGACTTCTTGTTGCTTTTGGCCGCAGCCAGAGCAGCAGCTGCCCACATCTCTCCCCTTTTCAGCCCAGACTGTAGTGGTTGCCCTTTGCAAGGAACACAAAAGGAGGGGTGAGCCTGTAGGTGGCTATCCTTCAGGCCGCCAGCTCAGTTCCCAAGTGTCACCACCTAGCCCCACCTCTTCGGGTTGTCACGGATACAGTGGCACTGTAACTCTCAGATCTCTACCCTGTGCCACCCAGCGCACTCTGGCTTTGATCAGTAAGAGTTGCCAGGTACAGAGTTCTCAGATAAATGTTGCTAAGGGCCAGCGTGGTTTAAAGAGCACAGAAGAGGAGGAGAGAAGTAGTGACGGGACTTAACTCTGCTGGGATTTGTGTCTTTTTGCACATCCCCACTTTACCAGCTTCCCTGCCCCGGGGTCCGGCAGTTCGGTGCCATACAGATCTAAGTGAAAACTGCCTGGTGCCGTATTTTGTGGTGAGGTATTGAGGACGCCATACTTTTCTGTCTGCAGTGACCATTGAGGAGGCTTATATGTATGTGAACTTTGTCCTTTCGTATGTAAAGTTGCTGAGCGTTTGCAGGCAACTAGCTGGTTGACAGATTTACTTTTAAGCTGTATCTACTTTGTCAAACAGACACTCCATCCTGCGTCCTCTCACAAAGCTATTAGTGGGCATCATGGGAGCAGTTTGGGCATAGATGTACAGGTAGCTGTTTCCTGGCCTTGAGTGGTACACGTACTGTCAGGAATTTGGGGTGAGCGTAGGACCAAGGACTTATCCCTGATGGAAGGCTCAGTATTTAAAAATCACCAGGTCATTCAGAAGCCTGATGCCTCATGCAATGCTAGGAAGCAGGTCATGGTGGATATATAAAATAGGGTTTTTCACACACCTGCTATCCAGCTTGATGGGTAAACGTAACATTTGTTAGAAGAGTCCTCAAGCCTTTCCTTGATGAGAAGGAATTCTCAGCAGTAACTTCCAAAGTCAGAAGTGTTTAGTGGATTCCTCTGCTTGCCTTTACGCACGCTTTCGTCTGAAAACGAACATTGCAGATTCTGATAAAAAAGTGTATTTTGACAAAGGACTTTTTCCTGGAAACAGTGGGCAACATTAAACTGTGATGCCAAGCCACCTCTGCCATTATTTGTGATGCCCTATGTCCCTGTCTGTGTGTGGGGTGTCACTAAGTGCCATCCGTGCCCACAGCCCTCAGGATGGCCTGGGCACGAGCCTGGCTCCAGCACTTGCTGGCCGGTCCACGCTCCCAGGCTGCCTCCAGCAGCAACGGGGACGGCCAAAGACAGGCCCCCACAGGCTGCGAGGACTAAAGGTGGGTGTGGGTGTGGGTGTGAGCCTGAGGCAGCTGGGGGCTCCCACACCTCGCAGTGACGCATGTGGTGGAAACATCCCTCCACGAAGGCAATGCTTACCAGGCAGCGTTTGGGACGGGGCAGTGGTCTGGGCACACCACCAGGGATGCACCACCATGCCTGCCTGACTTATTTTTAGTAGAGATGGGGCCTTGCTCTTGCCCAGGCTGGACTCAAACTCCTGACCTCAAGCAACACTCCCGCCTTGGCCTCCCAGAGTGCTGGGATTACAGGTGTGAGCCACCTCGCCCGGCCACAGCTAATGTTTATTAAGCCCTTACCATATGGAGACTCTGTAGCAAGGGCTGGCATGTATTACCTTGCCTCTAAGGAATTGTTATCCCCATTTTACCATTGAGAAAAATGCAACACAGGGAAATTTAGTCATTCACCCAAGTCCCCAGAAGGCAGGGGCAGACAGGATACCAGCCCCAGTGGTCTGGCCAGAGCCTGTGCTCTCACAGAATAGTACATACTTATAAAAAGGTCAAAATTGGGGAGAGGCTGAGGACAGATCTATTCTGACAGTACTTAGTAATTACAAATAACAGTAAGGTTTCGTTCCAAGAAGACACTCTTTATTATTTTATATATAGGCATAATTTATAGTACAAAAAGATTCAGATTTTAAGTATACAATTTGATGCATTTTTTTTCCACTTGTGATTCTCGTGGCCACAGTTCGGTGAGTTTTGACAAATGTGTGCTCGTTTTATTATCAACCTAAACAAGATACAGGGAGCAAGAAAGTTCCCTCCTGCCTCTTTCCAGCTAACCACACCCCATGGGAGGCAGCTGCTGCTCTGATCTCATCACAACTTTTGCCTGTCCTTAAGACTCATATAAGTGGAAATGTATAGTATGCACGCTTTTGTGTTTGGCTTCTTTTGCTTAGTACTCTTTTGAGATTCACCCTTGTTGCGGAATAGTGTACAACCACATGATAGCATACCATCTTATTACAATTTGACAATTTATCCATCCACCTGTTGATGTACTTTTGGGTTGTTCCCAGTTTGGGACATCATGCTGCTATGAACATTGGTGAACAAACTCTGTGGACTTCGATTTTCATTCCTCTCAGTATATGACCTAGCAATGTGACCTAGCAATCAGGAGGCTGTTATAGTGTTTCAGGTTGCACTAACAAAATACCATAAATTGGGCAGCTTGTAGAACAGAAATCTCTCACAGTTCTGAAGGAACTGGAAGACCAAGACTAGGAAGACCAAGATCAGGCACCTGCAGATTCAGTGACTGATGAGGACCCACTTCTAGTTCTTAGATGGCATCTTCCTGCTGTGTCCCTGCATGATTATGTAAGAGGCAAGGGGCTTCTCTCCTGTCTCTTTTAAAAGGGCACTGATGGCATTCATGAAGGCTCTGCCTAGTCACCTCCCATAGTACCCACATCCCAACACCACCATCATGTTGGGGGTTAGGATCTCAGCATATGAATTTTGGAGGGATACAAACATCCAGACCATAGCAGAGTACATGTAATTTTATAAGAAAGTACCTTACTATTTTCCAAAGTGGCTAACTCATTTTACACTCGCACCAGCAATGGATGAGAATTCCAAAACTGTTCCACATCCTCACCAAAATTTGATATTGTCGTTCCTTTAATTTTAGCCACTCTCGTGGGCATTTCATTGGGGTTTTACTTTACATTTCACTCATCTTCAAATTTACTGACCCTTTCTTCCATTATGCCCAACCTACTGTTAGTACCATGTTTTTTTTGTTTTTTTGTTTTTTTTCCCTGAGTGATAGGGTCTTGCTCTGTCGCCCAGGCTGGAGTACAGTGGTATGATCATAGTTCACTGCAGCCTCCACGGCCTGGGCTCATGCAATTCTCCTACTTCACCCTCCCCAGTAGCTGGTACTACAAGCCTGTGCCACCTAGCGTGAATCAATGATTTTATTTTTGTTTTCATTGTTTCACCTACAAAGCCAAGGCAAAATTGACTTTTTAAAACCAAGGACATCAATTACATCTTTAAGTCTTTTTTTAATTAAAAAATTAAGACATAAACTACACACTGTAAAATTCACCCTTTATTGTACCTGAGAGTTTTGACAAGCACATGCAATTGTGTGACCCCATAATCAGGACACAGCGCCTTCATCGCACCGAACATTCCCCAGGCGACTTTGCAGTCAGCGCCTTGCCCACCCCCAGACAACCTCTGCAGTTTTCCGTCTTTTGCACGAATCTCCTACGGATGGAACCCTACGGTACAGAGGACGACAATGCACCTCCTCGATTGCTCAGGAACAGGGTGGTGAGAAACTAAAAAATTAACTCGGACCAAGAATATACACATCCGACCGGCCAGATGGAGATAAAGTCAGAGGCAAGGCTAACAGGAAACAGTAATTCTCCCAAGCACGCGGCGCGGCCGATCTGCTGCTTTCCTACCGGCGAGAAACTGCTCTAGAGTCGTGGCCGCCGGGGAGGACGAAACGCAAATGCCGGGGGTCTGGGGTCCGAGGCACGTGCGACCCAAGGGTGTGCCTAGCGCTCCCTGGCCACTGCGCCCGCCCGGGCGCCCGCGCTGCCTCGCCCAGTCGCTGGCAGGCTACGTCAGACAGAGGGCTCTCCCGTCATCCCCGAGCGCCGCGGCGCCGCGCCCGCATCAGGACCCCTCTCCCGGGATGCCCGCGCTGCTGCCTGACGGCGCGCTCGCCCGCCCCGTGCCGCCTGGGGCCGGACCCGCGGCCGCGCTCCCTCGGCGAGCGCCCAAGGGCTGAGGCGGACGCCCGTGCCCGAGCGTGCAGCCCCCGCCCCGCGCCAGCCGGGCCCGCGCTCGACGCCGTCAGGCAGTGGCGCAGGCAGCCCGGCGCGGGGCGCGGCGACGCAGGACCCCGGAGGCCTCGGTGGCGGCGGCGGCGGCGGCCCGGGCGGCGGCGATGCTGTGGCCGCGGCTGGCGGCGGCCGAGTGGGCGGCGCTGGCCTGGGAGCTGCTGGGCGCCTCGGTGCTGCTCATCGCCGTGCGCTGGCTGGTGCGGCGGCTGGAGAAGCGGCCGCGGGGCCTGGGCCGGAGCGCGACCCCCGCGCCGCCGCCCCGCGCAGCCGGGGCCCCAGACCCAGGTAGGGCCGGTCGGCGGTGGGCCCCGCGCCCCGCCGGGCTCGGGGAGGAGCGGTTCGGCGGGGCCGGTTGGCGGCGGGTGCGGGGAGCGGCGGGGCGCGGGGCGGACGTCCGCGGGGCAGGGGAGCGGGAGTTCTGTTTTGCGTGACCCGCGCCGGGCCGGGCCTGTTGAGTTCGCCGGCCGGGTCCGGCGGGCTCCGAGGGACGGGGCCGGTTGGCGGCGGGTGCGGGGAGCGGCGGGGCGCGGGGCGGACGTCCGCGGGGCAGGGGAGCGGGAGTTCTGTTTTGCGTGACGCGGCCCGGGGCTCGCCCTGGGAAGTTCATCTGGCCGCTGGAATGCGAATTGTGAGGAGACCGGGGCGCCCCCGGGGCGGGCGCAGAAGTGAGCCGTGTAGGTTTCTAGAGTGAGAGCATGCCCAGGAGAGGGGAGAGCCTCTGCGAAGGCTGCGAGGCCGGAGCGCGCCTGCCATCAACGGCGAGGTTGCCAAGAACAGACGAGGAGAGGAGGCGAGGCTGAAGCCCCTTGCCAGGCGTTGGGGTAGGTTCTTGCTGTATGGAAACAAGACTTGGGGATCCATGGCTTGAAACAGGGCGGCAGTCACAAGAGTCGCTGATGTGTTTTCGACCTGAAGCCCTGTGGAGTTTACTGGTAGTTGAATATAAGGTGAGACAAAGAAAAAGCAAGTGTAGGCCGGCGCGGTGGCTCACGCCTGTCATCCCAGCTCTCTGAGGCCGAGGCGGGTGGATTGCTCGAGGTCAGGAGTTTGAAACCAGCCTGAGCAAGAGCGAGACCCCGTCTCTACTATAAATAGAAAAATTAGCCGGGCATGGTGGCGCATGCCTGTAGTCCCAGCTACTCCGGAGGCTGAGGCAGGAGGATCACTTGAGCCCAGGAGTTGGAGGTTGCTGTGAGCTAGGCTGATGCCACGGCACTCGCTCTAGCCCGGGCAACAAAGCAAGACTCAGTCTCAAAAAAAAAAAGCAAGTGTAACTCCAGGGTTTGGGGCAGGAGGAAGTGAAAGGATGTGGTTATTTATTGCGTTGGGGTAGACTGTCCAGTGAAGCAGATCAGGAGTTGGGTTTTGGTAATTTCAAATATTTAAATTTAAGGTAACTGTGACGTTGTGAAGTGTATAGTTGGTTTTCATCCTGGTTTCCTGGCGTAAGACTCCTAAAATCCCTGGAATCTCCGAAGTGATGAGTTTGTGGATGCTAATGAGTTGACTGATGTCTGGCAGCCCCTAGGTAGCTTCAGAGTGGGGACTGGTCCCAGGGGAGACCAAGGTCTGATTAGAGGGTTGGACTTCCAGCCCCATCCCCAACCTCCAAGCAAGGGAGAGGGGCAGAAAGTTAAGTTGGTCGCCAATGGCCAGTGGTTTAACCAGCGGTGCCTACATAATGAAGCTTCTGTAAAAGCCCCAAAGGACTGGGTTCAGGTTGCTTCCAGATGTCACGTGGAAGTTGCTGGAGGGTGGTGTGCCCAGAGAGGGATAGAAGCTTCACACCCTTTCCCACTTTTTTGCCATGTGTCTCCCTTCAACTGTATCTTTTGTAATCCTTTTTTTTTTTTTTTTTTTTTTTGAGACAGAGTCTCACTCTGTTGGCCGGGCTAGAGTGCTGTGGTGTCAGCCTAGACTCCTGGGCTCAAGCGATCCTCCTGCTTCAGCCTCCCAAGTAGCTGGGACTACAGGCATGCGCCACCATGCCCGGTAATTTTTTCTGATGTTTTTAGTTGGCCAATTATTTCTATTTTTAGTAGAGACGGGGTCTCGCTCTTGCTCAGGCTGGTTTCGAACTCCTGACCTCAAGCAATCCGCCCGCCTCGGCCTCCCAGAGTGCTAGGGTTACAGGCGTGAGCCGCCGAGCCTGGCCTGTAATCCTTTATAATACACCAGTAACTGTAAGTGAAGCATTTCCCTGAGTTGTGTGAGCCACTCTGGCGAATTAACGGAACCCGAGGAGGGAGTCGTGGGGACCTTGATTAAACACAGGTCACAGCCTGAGTTGTTGGAAGTACGGGGCCGTCTGTGGGACCGAGCCCTTGACTTGTAGGGTCTGACGCTAGCTACCTCCAGTAGATATCATTAGGACAGAACTGAGTTAGAGGACATCCCGCTGCCGTCCACTGCAGAATTACTCTCTTGCTTGATGCGGAAGGACCCCACACATCTGGTTTCTGCAGCGTGCAGTGAGACTGTAGTCAGAGAGACTGAGTCTGTTCTTCCTTTTTGTAGTCAGACTGTTGGGCACTGAGGAAAGTAGTTTGTAATGATTGAGTAGGGGCTCACACATCAGATTGTGTGAGTTCATCTCCTTGCTCTACCACTTACTGCCGTGGGGCTGCACTTGACAACTCTGTTTTCAGCCTGCTCATTTGGAAACTAGGAGTGATAATGGCACCTAGTCAGTAAGGTTTGATAGTGGAGTAAGTACAGTGCGTGGTGCATATGAGGCACTAATGAGTGCTGCCTGTTATCGTAATTACCGGAGTCATCCAAGCGGCGCTGTGGAGGAGGCTGGGCGTGCGTCTGGTGTCTGAGAAAAGACCTGGAGATAAAGCGTACAGGTATTGGGTGAAGCTGTGAGTCTGGAGCTCTGGTGTGGGTGTTTTGGTTTTTGAGGCTCTGATTGGACTGAGAAGCCCTCCCTCCCGTCCCCAGCAGTCTGTCTTCACCTCCTCCTCAGCCCATGGCCTCGGGGTCCGTGGCCGTTGCCGCGTGCACTTCCTCCGGAGCCCCTGTGTCCACATCTGGTCTCTTCCTGGAGGATGAACGAGTGTCTCAAGTACTCTGACAGGAAGATGAAGTTTTTTGAGCAGAAAACAAAACTGATGACCCTACTTTAGGATCTTAGGGCTAAAGGGATCCTTAGGGTAACTTATTTCTCACGTCCTGGATTCACAGCCAAGGAAACAGGCCCCAGAAGGTCAGTGTCCCACTGGGACACAGGCTGGTGGCAGGACCGGCTGGGACGTCGGTCTGTTGGCACTGGGTCTGGTGCACCTTCCGTCCTGTCGGGTTCTACCTTCTGTGTCCCTTAAGAGAGTTTCAGGCAGCACCTTTGATAAATAGCGCGCTGGTTTGTCCGCTTACACTGTCAACGCTGTGCCACAAAACTCAGTGTGGGACACTGAGACTAAACGTTACCCAGACACTGAAGCTAAACGGTGTGCGTGCCGTACGGGTATGGGGCTAAGATATTAGAGTTTGGAGTGTTTTTTCATTAAGAATTTGTCTTTAAGTTTTAGCTTTTCATTTTGAAATAATTTTAGACTCAATAAAAGATTACTAAAATAGTACAAAGCAAATAAACATATGTGAAAAGATGTTCAACATCATCAGCCAGCAGAGAAATACAAGTTTTTTTTAATGTTTAAGAGATGGGATTTTGCTGTGTTGCCCAGGCTTGTCTTGAACTCCTGGGCTCAAGTAATCCTCCTGCTTCAGCCTCCTGAGTCACTGGCACTACAGGCATGAGTCACCAGGCTTGGCGGGAAATGCAAATTAAACCTAAAGTGAGATATTGCTACACACCTATTAGAATGGCTGAAATCAAAAGAAATGCTGATATTACCCCAAATTGACAGGGATGTGGAGAAACTGGGTCTCTCGTGCATTGCTAGTGGGAATGTTAAGTGGTACAGCCACTGTGGAAATGAGTCTGGCAATTTCTCAGAAAGGTAAAGCTGCCCTGCACTCCTGAGATTTTTATCCTAGACAAATGAAAACTTAACTTCCACACACAAGCCCATGTATGACTGTTCACAGCAACCTTGTTTGTAATTGCCCCAAACTGAAACAACCCAGATGTCCCTTGGGAGTGAATGGTTTAACACTGGCACGTCCGTGCCACGGGGTGCTACTCAGTCCCTACAGCAGCTTAGATGGGTCTCCAGGGCACTGTGCTGAGTGAGAGAAGCCAGTCTCAAAAGTTCTGCACTTGCTGTCCCGTTCACATAACGTTCTTGAAATGAGAGAGTTACAGGGATGGGGAATGAGTGAGTGGTTGCCAGGGGTTGAGGACTGGGCCAGATGGGAGGTGACGAGTGCGGCAGGGGGAGGTCTTTGTGGGGCAGGACCGTTCTGCATGTGACCGTAGGTCGCTGTGGTTACAGGAGCCTGTTCGTGTGGTAAACTGTCACAGAATTATACAAAGACACAGCCTGCAGAGGCTGGTGGGGTCCGAGGTCTGGTTTGTTTTGTGTCAGTTTCTCGGTTTTGATCGTGTGGCCTGGAAATGTAAGATGTCAGGCTGGGTGATAGGTCCACAGGACCTCTTTGTATGATTCTTACAAGAACTTCTGAGTCCATACGATTTCAGAATAAAAAGTTACATCATGTTTACCATCTCCTGGATTCCCCAAATATTGGTGTCTTACATAATCACACTACAAAATGAAAACCAGGAAATTAACATTGATGCAACACTATTACCCAATCTACAGACCTAACTCCATTTCTCTTATCTTAATCCATCTATCAAAGACCAGGGGGTCCTACTAATACTTCCAGTTCCAAGGCAGCAGCACTGGTTTTATTCTAGCCCAAGGGTCAAATCTGGCCCCACCTGTTTTTGTACTTACCGTTTTATCGGAACACAGCCGTGCCTCTTGCTCTCGTGTTGTCTGTGGCCGTTCTGAGCCCTGGAGAGGCCGGGCGGCTCCCCTCTCCTCAGGTGTTCGCTCCTGCGCTTTACAGGGGTTTGGCTGTCCCTGTCCTCGCCCCACTTCCCTTTCTGTCCGAGGGAACCCTGGCTCTCGTCAGCCACAGCGCGCTCCAGTTATTCGCGCAGTCCTAGAGCACACGTGAAATAGCTTCCACCAGGTGACCTGCACCGTAGTGGAAAACACCTGCTACCTGGAGTGTGGCGATTGTGTGCAGTTCGTTTTGTCTGTGTCCTTAGAGTGCATGGTCACTTGTGTTTCCCAGAGTTGCTTTAGTCCTCCCACCTTTATGTTATTACTTTGTAATAGTTAGAGTTATCGGTTGTGGTTTGCATTCCATTTGGGGGTCTCCCCATCTTTTTGTTTATTTACTTATTTCTTGAGTATGTGGATGACAAACATGTTTTAAAAGTCAGAACCATATAAAAACTGTCCCTCTGTCCCTTCCGTGTTCTCCCATTCTTCCTGTCTGGTCCCACCCACCCTATAGATAACCAATCTTACTAGTTTCTGCTTTATCCTTTGTTTCTTTGTACACTTGAGTGGACACTTGTATCTCGTGTTAAGAATATTAGTAAGAGAGTGTCCGTTTTTATTTTTATTCAAACTGACTTTCTAGCATGTTATGTACTTACTCTAAAGATTAATAAGCCTATATTCCTTAACAGTTTAATAGCTGTGTCTGACATGAATAATTTTTTAGTGTCAGACACAGTGTACAGTCTTTACATGCATTATTTTATCTATATCTTATATACCCTACGAAAGAGAGGTATTGGTGTGTCCATTTTTATAGATAAGGAAACCGAATATTAGAGCTTAAATGATTTGCCCAAGGCCACAGTTAGTAACTTAATGTAATTAACTGTCCTATTGAGGGCTTGCTTGGTTACGAGGACAAAACCTCCTTCCAGCTAGCCCAAGTTAAAAAGGTGGCTTTAGAGTAAGGTTACAGAGATTGTATGAAATACTGCCAGGGACGGAGAGGAGCGTCCCTGTTAATTCATAGCATCTTCGCAGCTGCTCCCTCCCCTCAGATTTTGCCCTGCATGTGGCTTTGACCACCTGTGTGCCCACTTCCGCTGTGGATTCTGTACAGCCCTTCCTGTCAGTGTGTGGTCGCTGAGCTGTGTCTGTGTGTACAGAGAATCTGATCAGGTGTTGATCGCTGGGCAGAATCTCCCGGTCAGCAGGCTCTACCTTCAGGTTCTCTGGCAGCTGTAAGAAGGGGCTGAGTAATGCATTCATTGTTTAAAAGACTAATATCCCCTTTGCAAATAAGTAACTGTTATATTTGAAATCTTCTTGGAGTGGGGGGGGGTGGCATTATAAAAATTTTTTAAAATAATGAAATACACAAAATAGATACAATAATTTAATGAATGCTGATACCCACCGCCTAGCTTCAACAGGTGTTCGTATTCTGTGAGTCCTGTTTTACCTGTGCTTGCTCTCTGCTGAAGTAATTAAAGCCCGTCCCAGACAGCTCATCATGTCACCTGGAAACACTTCCTAAGCCCTCTGCTTCTCAGTTTCAGTGATGTAATGTGTCCAAGCCTTGAGTTTTCCTTCCTCGTGGTTTTTAAATTTTTTTTCCTTTTTTTTTTTTTTTTTCCTCCTCGTGTCTTTTAATCATTAATCTTACTCAGACTCCTTTTTAGGCTCACTGTCTGTGTGTGTTCCTGTTATCCCTGGTTTAGTCTGTTGGTTTTGCGACCACCGTCCACATGCTGGTAATTCCCAAGTCTGGTTTTCCCCACGCTGAACTTCCTGTCTTCTAAACCTCAGGCTTGAAAGTCCAAATGCCCTCTGGGTATCAAATAGAAAGGCTTGATGCCTACATTTGGGAAAAAGGAATCTCCCTCTACTGGCTCCATCTCTAACATCTTCTGCCTCAGTGGAGTCCCTTCCCTGGCATCTGGACTGGAAATGTGGGTGCCTTGCGGCCCATTGCCGTCCCTCCAGCCCTGCCCTGTGGCAGCTAATCGGCCTGTGGCTGAGACGGCCTGTTCCTCGAGTCCCTGTCATCGCCACAGTCGTCTGTGCCCCGACATTTCTTGCCTTCTCCCCTGAGTCCCGCTGGCCACACGTAATCTGTATGCCATAAATTTAGCCACTGTTCTCCAAGAGCACCGGCCTAAGCTCCAGTGCGGGTTCAGGTCCGCTGTGTGATAGCTGTATGACCCGGACAAGTCACTTGGCCTGTCTCGCCTGCAGGGTCTTCTTCTGTAAAGTGGAGGGGAGCGGTGGGTGGCCATCCGTTCCACACGGGGTTGTCGTGACTCTTCCGTGACATAATATACGCCAAATGCTTAGAACATCACCAGGTCCTGGGCACAGGGAAATCCTCCAAAAGCATAAAACGCTAGTTGTTTGTTGTTAGTATTAGCAAAATGACTGCCAGAGCTGTGTGGCCCTTCTGTTTAAATCTTTGCATACTTTCCCATCGCTTATGAAATAAAATGCAAATATATCTGTAGGGTAAATTTCTTTCTTCGTTTTTTTTTTTTCTTTTTAGAGACAGGGTCTCTACTCTGTCACTGAGGCTGGAGTGCAGTGTCACTGAGATGGATTGTATATGGCTCAAGTGATCCTGCTGCCTCAGCCTCCCAAGTAGCTAGGACTACAGGTGTGCATTAATTACCATGCCCTGCTAATTTTGAAAGAAAAAAATTTTTTTAGAGATGGGTTCTTGCTTTGTTATGTTGCCCAGGCTGGTCTCAAACTCTTGGGCTCAAGGGATCCTCCTGCCTAGGCCTCCCAAAGTTCTAACATTACAGGCATGAGCCACTGTGCTTCGCCTAGACTTGGAATTTTGGTGGATAGTGTCCACCTGCCCTCCATGGGATTTGTTCCAAGCTGTACTCCCAGCCAGAGTAATGACAGAGGAATGTGCCTGTCCCCGCAGTGCACTGACCTGCAGAGAACGTGAACCTGTGGTAATGTGTGATGGAACTAGGTTATGAGATTCTTACCCAAGTCAACCAGAAACTGCTTGTTTTAATTTTGTTTAGATTATTATAGATGAGGAAGTATATAATTTACAAAAATTACCATAGATGATTTATAGAGTCCAAAGGATATGGAGAAACACTGCGTTGAAATGAAACTTTGAAACCAGGTTTTTTAAACGTTTTTTTAAATACAAAAACATGTGCTTATAGCCATCAAATTAGGGTTTTTTGTCTTGGTTCTAGGTGAAATGACAATGGATGCTGTCTTGGCTCGGTTGAAACTTCTGAATCCAGATGACCTTAGAGGAGAAGTGGTCAAAGCCGGATTGAAATGTGGACCCATTACATCCACCACACGGTTCATTTTTGAGAAAAAACTGGCTCAGGCTTTACTAGAGCAAGGAGGAAGGCTGCCTTCCTCTCTTCCCGGCCATGAGGCAGGTGGCGCATCTCTAAGCCAAGACACACAGAGGTTTCTGAAGTCTGCTGCAGGGAACCCCACCGAGCAGCCCGGTTTTTCTGAAGACAGAGACTTTGGTTATAGCGTAGGCCTGAATCCTCCAGAGGAAGATGCTGTCACGCCGCAGGCCTGCTTGGTGCCCCTGAGTGCTGCGGCCACCCTCGGGGCCAGAGCCGGAGCCGGAGGGACAGCCTCTAAGGAGCCGCCTCTGTACTACGGGGTGTGCCCCGCCTACGAGGACATCCCAGCGAGAAACGGTAATGTGACCATTGTGCTGTTCTCCCTTAAACAGATGTACCTATGGGGAGGGTGGGATTTTGAAAATTGAAAGCTATAGATAAAAAAGAAACAGTTTAACATTTTTACATAGAACGTTCTTGAATTTTACATAAATCTATATAAGAATTTTAACAACTTGTTAGGAAAATGGGACTCTGTGAGATGCACTTGACTTACAGATATTGATTGGCCGGCTTTTTCAAATTCATTATAACCCATACACCTTTTATATTAATGAATGCAAATGGCCAAGGAATGTATAAATAAGTTTCAACGTCAGAGAACTGCAAAGGACTTAATAGATAGCAGTAGCAAAAGACAGTGAGCGCTCGGTGTCCATTAGAATGTCATGAACTACACCCTGCTGTGGTGCTGTTTCTGTGATGCCCAAGAACAGGAGGTGGGTTGATTTCACACCGTGAGTAGAATGGGATATTATTCAATCATAAGATCTTTTTAAAGAAGATTAATGACACTGTGAAATGGTCATGACGCAATTTGTATTGTTAGTCTTTATCATGAAAGTTGATTATAAAACATTCATTTATGATGTGTATATTACATATTTGGTATCTGAAGTAAAAGTGAAGTTTCTCTCCTGCCCACCCAAATCTTACTCCCTAGAAGTAACCACACCTGATCTGGCTATTTTTCATTCATACATATAAACATTGCTTTTATTATATTTCATATATATTTTGATACGTAGTATATGTGTATTTTTGAATTTAATATAAGTGCAAATATATATAAATGCACATTGTTTTTATTTTTGTTAAAATGGCAAGTAGAAGTATAGGGTCAAAAGGTAGCATTTTTAACACTTTGAAAGTTACCACCTTCCACGGCCGAGCGTGGTGGCTCACGCCTGTAATCCCAGCTCTCTGGGAGGCCGAGGCGGGTGGATTGCTCAAGGTCAGGAGTTCGAAACCAGCCTGAGCAAGAGCGAGACCCCGTCTCTACTATAAATAGAAAGAAATTAATTGGCCAACTAATATATATAGAAAAAATTAGCCGGGCATGGTGGTGCATGCCTGTAGTCCCAGCTACTCGGGAGGCTGAGGCAGGAGGATCGCTTGAGCCCAGGAGTTTGAGGTTGCTGTGAGCAAGGCTGACTCCACGGCACTCACTCTAGCCTAGCCAACAAAGCGAGACTCTGTCTCAAAAAAAAAAAAGAAAAGAAAAGAAAGAAAGTTACCACCTTCCAAAACATACAACATTCCATCTAAAAAGGGAGAAGTGCTTGTTTTGTTTCTATTCTGCCATGTGTACTGCGTGTGGTTAAACTTCCCATTTATCTTTTTTTTTTTTTTATTCAGAACGACAACAGTACCCATTTATCTTTTGAGTAAAGGGAACTGGCTATCTTGTTTTAGGTTAAATACCTTTTTTATACAGTTATGGTCTGTGTTTGATGATTGCTTGTCAATACATTGGCCATCTGTATCAAACAGTGGACATTAACCATTCTTTTATTATATTGTTAAATATCTTTTTCTCCAAGTCCACCATTGTATTTGTATTTTATGTATTTATCATAATCTTGTACAAAACTTGATTATGGTAGTTCTCATACAGAACTTTTAATACTATTATATATTCGGAACTGTCTCGTCCTTTATGGATTCCTTCTAATGATGGTTTCTTGGCAGGTATGAAAAGGCACAGCCTACTCAAAGTTATGTGTAAAGTTCTCTTATATTCTTTGCTAATATTTTCACGTTTTTTTTTTAAACAATTATTTTTATTTAATTTTAATTTTTTTTTTTTTGAGACAGTCTTGCTTTGTTGCCCAGGCTAGAGTGAGTGCTGTGGCATCAGCCTAGCTCACAGCAACCTCAATCTCCTGGGCTCAAGCGATCCTCCTGCCTCAGCCTCCCGAGTAGCTGGGACTACAGGCATGCGCCACCATGCCCGGCTGATTTTTTCTATATATATTAGTTGGCCAATTAATTTCTTTCTATTTATAGTAGAGATGGGGTCTCGCTCTTGCTCAGGCTGGTTTCGAACTCCCGACTTCGAGCAATCCGCCCACCTCGGCCTTCCAAAGTGCTAGGATTACAGGCATGAGCCACTGCGCCCGGCCAAACAATTATTTTTAGTTAGGTTTTTTTTGAGGAGACAGGGTCTCTTTTTGTCACCTAGACTGGAGTGCAGTGGCATCATCATAGGTCACTATAGTCTCAAACTCCTGGGCTCAAGCAATCCTCCTGCCTCAGCTTTCTGAGTAGCTGGGACTACAGGTGTGCACCATGTCCGGCTAATTTTTTGTAGAAACAGGGTCTGGCTGTGCTGCTCAGGGTGATCAAAAACTCCTGGCCTCAAGGGATCCTCCTTCCTTGGCCTCCCAAAGTGCTGAGATTACAGGCATGAGCTACCACGCCTGGCCTTTATTTAGATCTTTAATCCATATGAAACTTACTTTTTAGTATGGTATCTTGGGATACTAAATTACATTTATGTATAAAATATATATCACGTTATTCACAACACACATGATCAAGCTGATTGTGTTCTTTTGGCCCTTTTTCTTGAAGATTGAAAACCTGAACTGTGAGTGCAAGGCTGGGCTCAGGTGGCCGGGTGGCTACGGTTTTCACAGATCGCCGAGCCCAGGGTCGACGGGGCAGTGCTGCGGCCGCTTTTCTCTGACTCTCCTGTGTTACTTTTCCCACCAGAAAGGGTCCACGTCTATGAAAATAAAAAGGAAGCATTGCAAGCTGTCAAAATGATCAAAGGGTCCCGATTTAAAGCTTTTTCAACCAGAGAAGATGCTGAGAAGTTTGCTAGGGGAGTTTGTGATTATTTCCCTTCTCCAAGCAAAACCTCGCTACCACTTTCTCCTGTGAAAACAGCACCACTCTTTAGCAATGGTGAGTTGAAAGGTGAATCGCATAGCAGTTCACACCTTGCCATTCCTGTCAGACTTGCCCCGGACTCTCTTGTGCCCTCTTTCCTGATATGTGGCAACGAATCTTCTCCACGAGGGTGGAGGGGATGGGGCTGAGGCTGACACGCCAGCACTTCGCATCGTAAGGGTGGAGAAATTCGGAAAGGAACAGTCCTTCGTCTGTTCCCTCATCTCCCCTGCTGCCTGTTGGATTCGGGGTCTTTTTTTTACACTGAGACCAGTCTACTTCCCCACCTGAAGCCATGCCCACTTCTGGGACTGGGGCGGCTACAGAAGTTAGGCTCACCAGCAGGACTGTCCCCCCAGAAACCTGGCCACACCTACCGCCCGACCCAGGGCCAAGGCCTTGTTTGCAGAGGCCGTTGGTAGTCAGCTTCATGGAGGGCTCCTCCTTTGCCCCGCTCACAGCTGCCCCGCTTCCCCGGCCGGTGGGCTCCAGGGGAGGGCGCTGTCTCCTGCACATCTGGGCTTCAGTTAGGACCGCTGTCTGCCTGCCCCCTCAGTCAGCCTCATCCAGGTGCTTCCTACACAGAAACCAGAATGATTCCTCGCGGTTTGCAGATTTCTCTCTGCAGTCTGTGAAAGTTCCCCTGGCGCGAATCACGTGTGGAACAGTCCCCCTCTCGGGGGTGTCCCCTGTGTACCGAGGGTCCTGTGTGCCTGCTGGTGCTGTTCCTTTGGTTGCAGCTGCCGAAAGCTGGCTGAGCTTTCAAAGTTCACTAAGCCTTTCCCAGGCAGATGCTGGTGGGGTCTGGGTGCGCCCCAACCTGCCTGCTCGTAGCAGAGTGCGGGCTGCTCGTGCTGCTGTTCCTTACCTGTTTCTCCCAAGTGGCTTGGAAGCTCCTGCAGAAAAGCCGTTTATCCTCTCAGCATAGCACAGAGGAGGTGATGAGAAACTGTCTGTGAAATTAAGTGTTTTTAAATTCTGTCTCTTAATGACAGATGGTTTGAGCTTGTCTGAATCAGAAACCGTAAACAAAGAGCGAGCGAACAGTTATAAAAATCCCCGCACGCAGGACCTCACTGCCAAGCTTCGGAAAGCCGTGGAGAAGGGAGAAGAAGACACCTTCTGCGACCTCGTCTGGAGCAATCCCCGGTATCTGATCGGTTCGGGAGACAACCCGACCATCGTGCAGGTGAGCCTGCTTTCCGCTGCGCGAGCGCCACTGTGATCACCGCGCTTGCGACGGGGTCCGACCGCCTCTGACAGAAACGGCTCAAGGTGTGCGCTCTCTTCCAGGAAGGCTGCAGGTACAACATCATGCACGTCGCCGCCAAGGAGAACCAGGCTTCCATCTGCCAGCTGGCGGTGGCCACCCTGGAAAACCCCGACTTCATGCGGCTGATGTACCCGGACGACGACGCGGCCATGCTGCAGAAGCGCATCCGCTACATCCTGGACCTCTACCTCAACACGCCGGACAAGGTGGTGCGTTTCCCGCCGCCCGCTCTTTGTGGAGACGCCATGGCCCGTTTTCTTGCCGAACGGTTTGGTTCCCCGTAGTCTCCCTCGCACGCCGTGGGTCAGAGAGTGGAGGTCATGGAGTGGAGGTCAGGGAGGAGAAGCTCCCTTGCCGGACTTGAAGGGTGCGACGGGAGTCTGCCCCTCGTGGCGGGAGGCCCCTCTGCCACCAGGCTGACTTGGGGTGGGCGGGGAGGCCGGGGCCCCAGGGCGCTTCCCTCTTGGGCTCTGTCAAGACGGGAACATGGGCAAAGGCCAAAAAGCATAGAAAAGAAAGTAAAAAAGTTTTGGTGCCTTTTATTCTGGCATTCTGTGTATATCTTTTATATGTTTATATGTGTGTATGCGCATAAATTTTCAAAGGCCAGATTTTTAATGGTTCAGTAAGGCTTAAGCAAGGATTCTTGAAACAGAAAAATTGATGTATTTTTATAAGGGAAAACCCAGTGACAGCTTAGAGCCAAGGACTGTAAACTGAGCAAAACCTAGGAGTTTAGAAAGTTGTGGGTGAGAAAGTAAAAGGACCATTATCTTGGTGGGGCATAATTTTGTTATTTGATAACACAATAAATATGATACATTGGACTGCATTTGATAACACAATAAATATGATACATTGGACTGCAGAATAAGCAAGAATAACTTTTAACAGGAAAGAAAAGGGGGAATGTAGAGAAATTGGTCCAAGCTACCAAATTATAGAAAGAGGTAAAAGACCAAAAAAATATAGTACGCATAAAATAAGAAAAGAGGAATAAAATTGAAGTCAGACTAAGTGTGAACAAATTAAATAAGGGTATCATATTTGATTAGTACAATCAGCACCTGTGACTTTGTGGCTATAGCACTTAGTTCCCTGTGCCCTACAGAAAAACATGGTTTTTTTTTTTTTGAGACAGGCTGGAGCACAGTGGTGTGATCACAGCTCCCTGCAGCCTCCTGGGCTCAACAGATCCTCCTTCCTCAGCCGCCCAAGTAGCTGGGACTATAGAATTGTGCCACCACACCCAGCTAGTTTTTTAATTTTTTGTATACATGAGTTTTGCTATATTGCTCAGACCGGTCTCAAACTCCTGGTCTCAAGCAATCCTCCCACCTTGGGGGAATACAGGTGTGAGCCACTGTACCCAGCCTCTTTTTTCTTAATGTCTGTGGAATACATGCATATGTCCAGAAAGAAAACTTATTAAATTATTGAAATTAGATATTTCAGGTCACTTTCTGTTATCATAACCACTAAAAGTAGGAACTGATACAGTGGTGACCAAAACCACCGCAGCTCTTTAGAAAGCACTGGGTTTGTGGGGAGACCACGTCACTAGAGAACGTGGCGTGGCCGAGGGGCAGGGTAGGAGTTGAAGTGGTCGGGTGTGCGGGGTCTGGAGCAGGTGGGAAAGAGGCGTTGTGTGGAAAGAGGGCCAGAAGGAAGTGTGGCGAGGGTCCCGCGTGTGCAGAGCAAACCGTCTGCCCCCACGAGTGGCCGGGGCCTGGAGGAGAGGGCGAGCGTGTTCCTGGATCGAGGGACCCCAGAACCCGAGGCATGCTGGGCGAGACAGGAACGCACAAGGCCCCAAGGTTGGGGGTGCAGAGCAGGCTTCTCGCTGGAGCAGGGCCCACAGGCGCCGGCCAGGGCCCAGGTGACCTGCACCTGCGTGCGGAAACGCAGCCTGGTCGGAGCACGGCCACGCTCACTTGAGCGTCACTTGTCTGCAGTGCCTCCCCGCTGCACGGGCAGAGGCGGTGGCTGTGGCAGGGACTGGATGGCTTGCAGGGTCGAGCATGTTCTAGCATGTTTGTCGCCTGCCCCTGCCTGAGAAAGCGTTCCCATCCCTGGACAGAAGGCCGAGGTGCGGAGTGGGGGTGTGGGCAAACCTCCAGGCCTTTCAGGGTCGTGTGGGAGGAATGGCCCCTGTGGCATTGTGATGGCAGGGAGCGTTTGCTTCTCACAGGTGACAGCTGTGGGGTGGCAGACATGGCATCGATGACTGTAGAGGCTTTAGAGCCAGAACCTGCCGCCCTTGGTCATCAGAGGGGGACACAGGGAGATGTTTCTGGCGCTGGTGGGCGCCAGTGAGTCCGTTTTGCGCTTGCGCAGCCAAGTGCCTGGGGGATGTCCCCACGAGGGGCCTGGGAGGCAGCTGGCTCCACGGCCTCGGGCTCAGGGTGGCTGTTGGCCGTCAGGCCCGCTGGTCTGTGGGTGGCAGTGGAGGTGACCCGGGGACTGCCCAGAGGGTGAGGAAGGGTCAGAGGTGCCACCGGGGGAAGTCAGGGCATGACAGTGACCTAAAGTCGGGTAAAGAGAGCTTCGTTCGTTGTGCCGTCAGCTCTAGAGAGACTTTTCTTTGAGTACCGGCCAGACTTAGGGGTTTGTTTTTTTCTGGATGTTGCTGTCATCTGTTTATTGTGGCATCGTGCAGGGCCCTGAAGGGTGACAGCTGGGTCGCTGTTCACTGAGCATGTGTCAGGCCCCAGTTGATCATGAGCTCCTTGCAGGGCCTGGGCACTGGGTGCTGCCCGGTGGTGACAGCAGTGTGCCGAGCTCACGTCCTGGCAGCAAGTGGACGTGTGACAGCATGCCAGTTACGTTTCAATCATAAAAGCAACGTTTTTATGGCCTTTTTTGTTTTTGAGGCTTTTTTAAAAAAATAAATACCACCTAGGCAAGGTGGTTCAGGCCTGTAATCCTTAGCACTTTGGGAGACTAGAGGATCACTTGAGGCCAGGAGTTGGAGACCAGCCTGAGCTAGAGTGAGACCCCATCTCTACTAAAAAGAAATAGAAAATTAGCCCGGTGCGGTGATGCACACCTGTAGTCCCACCTACTTGGGAGGCTGAGGCAGGAGGATCGCTTGAGCCCAGGAGTTGGAGGCTGAAGTGAGCTGTGATGACATCGCTGCACTCTAGCCTGGGCGTCAGAGCAAAACTCTGTCTCCTAAATAAATGCATGCATACATACATACCTGTGTTCGCCGCAGAGTGAGCTCGTTAGACAAAGAAGCGTAAATAACTGTGCTTCCTCTGCCCCCTTTCCAGGGCAACGACACGCCGTTGCACTTTGCTTGTAAGTTTGGGAACGCAGACGTGGTCAACGTGCTTTCTTCACACCATCTGACTGCGAGAAACCCAAGGAATAAATATGATAAAACACCTGAAGATGTGAGTACTCAACTAAAATTCAGTTACTCTCCAGAGTTGGCAGTGAACATACATGAAGTCACAGTCTGCTCACAGCTGCAGCGCAGTCACGGGGACCGCAGCGCAGTCACGGGGACCGCAGCGCAGTCACGGGGACCTCGGGAGTTGTTGCCTCGCAGGCGCTGAGCACTGGCTGCCGAGCAGCGGGCACGCCGCGAGGGTGACGCTCTTGGAAGCCCAGAGGGGACGGACCGACTTGGTTTTTTACTTTTTTCTTTTGATAACGTTGGTACCAGTGACCCAATGTGCTGATTTTTATTTTCCTAAAACTGGCAGTCAGTTGTTCAGTCTTTCATCGAGTCTGAAACACGTCAGTTGACCGGGGTCAGAGAGCACAGAGATGAAGGTGACGAAGGTGGTGGCTCTGAAGCAGCTCAGTGCCAGGCCCCGCCAGCATGCTGTCCCCCGACCCGGACGAGCCTCACGTGACCCTCAGCAGAGAGGGCAGAGGTGCGGAAGAGGGAGCCGGACCCGGGGCTCGGAGGGCTGGCCGGGTCTGCGCTGTGTCCTGGAGCAGGTCGTGACGTGGCCCTGTCACCCCTTTGGAAGCAAAGCCTACAAGGACCCTTTTCTGGTGACAGTGGCTTCCCCCAACGCCCCCTTTTAATTGCTGCTGTTACATAAGCACCGCCCACTTTCTGTAGAGAGTTTAAGATAAACCATAAAAAAAAAGAGTAAAATTCACCGGAAAATTCTGCAGTTGAGAAATTACCATTATTTTGCATAGGTATGACTTCACTTTGTGTATTTTTCATTATAAAATGCTATTTGGTAACCAGCTTTAAAGCTCATGGCATTTTTAGAGCACTTCAACTCACAGCCAGTTACAGACTGAAAAAAAAGCTGCCCTCGTGTGTTGCTCTCACAGGCTGTTTTCCTTTCCGCTTACGTGAAGGTTATTGGTTTTCTGTCATTTCTAGCAAAATTGTTCTTACTGCTATGATTCTCCAAGGGCTGAGAAAATTGATCCCAGTACTTGCAAAAATGTAGTGTTTGTGTTCCGTGAGAGGCAGGAGCTCCGCCTGGCCCGGGGCACAGACACAGAAAGGTCACGCGGGCTCCCAGGCAATGTGCCCAGACAGCTGAGAAAACCACGACCAGGTCCATGTGCATCTGCTCCCCCTGGATCCTGAACTCCTAGGTTTTCCTTTCCTTGCAGGAAATGAGTGAATGTGCTGCTCTGAACAGACGTTTTAGGAGACAGACTGTCCTCTTCAGCACACGTTCTGCATGCGCTTCGTTAAGCTTCAGCGTTAAGATACTGTCTTGTTGACTGTGAAGCTTGCTTTTATAAAATCGCTGTAATGAAGGAAATGTTGCAATAAAATAAGACTTAGACACTCTTTTTCTAACAGGTAATTTGTGAAAGAAGCAAAAATAAATCTGTGGAACTGAAGGAGCGGATCAGAGAATATTTAAAGGGTAAGATGGGGCTAGGCCCTTCAGCCCCTCAGAAACCTCTTCCCAGTGACCCTGTTTTCCTCCTCTGCGTTCCCGTAACTCTGCTCTGAAGTCCTGTGTCCATCCTTTGAGCCTTTGTTGAGGCTGTCTGTTGTCAGCTGTTGCTCATGCCTCGCCTCGTGTGATCCGTGTAGGTGTCTCCCTGCAGGTTCTCCGCGATCGCCTCCTCCAGGTAGACCCTGCAGGGTGGCAGAGCGCAGCACGGGGCAGGGTTTGGCTCTTGGTAGTGTCCTTTCCTTCCGGAGCCCTCTCTGGGCGGCCCCTCCCCCAGCTCTCCAGGACAGCCCCACCCCGCAGAAGCTGCCCTGCCCTGGTCCCAGAGGCCGTCTTTGCTCTCTGAGGCCCCCTGCTCTGGTCAGAAGCTTCACGTAGTTGGCGCCTATGCCTCGTGGTCTGTGGGCACCCTGCGTGTGGCGGCTGTGTCCAGGAGGGGCCTCTCCCTGCCACCTTCCTGAGTGTTGCTTGAGTGCATTTCAGGAGATGGCAGAAAGGCGCCTTCCCTTGGCTGTGTTTAGCCAGAGGTTTGGTGGCTCTGCTTGCTGGGGGCGATGGCACAGACGCTCGAAGCTCTTGGACTCTGCTGTATGTGCCTTCTTCCTTCTCCGTTCCTACCCAGAGCTCCACTGCTCTTCGTTTAAGCAGAGTCAACAGCACAACTGCCCACCTCCTAGCCTGCTTTTGTAAATAAAGCGTCCCTGGCGCACAGCCGTAGCCATCGTCTGTTCGCTGTGTCTGGGCACCGTCCGGGTACAGAGACCACGGCCATGGAGCCTGCTTATTTACTGCTTATTTACTGCCTGGCCCTTTAAAGAAGAGGGTTGCTGGCCCCTGATCTAGAGTGTCCAGAGCCTTCACTTGTTCCCTGATCTCTTCTAGTCCTAGGAGTTTGTGTTAGTCATACTTCCTAAGGGTGCATGGCAAGCACAGGACGTGGGTCCTGGCTCTCTGCTGGGGGCGCAGGGATGATCTCCTCAGGGCCATGTGGGCATCGCTTCCAGAGACCTGGCTTGGGCCGGGCACAGTGGCTCACGCCTGTAATCCCAGCAGTCTGGGAGGCCGAGGCTGGAGGATCACTTGAGCTTAGGAGTTCTAGACCAGCCTGAGCAAGAATGAGACTCCCTTCTCTACTAAAAATAGAAAAATTAGCTGGGCATGTGGTGCATGCCTATAGACCCAGCTACTCGGGAGGCTGAGGCAAGAGGATCAGTTGAGCCCAGGAGTTGGATGTTGCTGTGAGCTATCATGAAGTCACTATACCTCTACCTGGAGTGACGGAATTAGACTCTGTCTCAAAAAAAAAAAAAAAAAAGAAAGAAACAGAGACCTGGCTTGAACGTTTGGAGGGCCCCAGAAACGTGTAGTGGTGTTACCAGAACATTCCTAACAACTAAACAGATTGATCTGCTCTGTGGATTTTCAAACCACACTGTCAGGAATGCTTTAAAATGAGGTAGCAATACTAACGGTCTGATGAGGCCTTTCCTATTTGTGACAATAGTGCTAATACCCCTGAGATCTGTTCATCCTGCTGTTTTCTGAGGAGAAAATGTTATTGCTGCGATTTCCAAGTTTCTGAAGGGTTAGACTACGCAGTACACCTTCCCTGGTTCCTGCTAAAGGTCTCACCTGAGGCCAGGTGTGGGTCAGCTTCAGTGGTCACATCGTGGCCTCTATCACATGTGTCTTCACACCCACAGAGCATGCTGTGGGACTGGCCTCCTTCCTGCCTGGCACCAGTCGTATCTCCCAGCGAGCTGCGTGAATATTAAGGAAGGACCCAATAGTGTTATGAAGATACAAATGGGATAAAAAAGCTGGACACCACACTGTTGAGAGAGCACAAGTCCAATTTTGTTGATAGATGTTTTTATTTTTTTATTACTTTTTAATTTAATGTAATTTTTTTTTTTGAGACAGAGTCTCGCTTTGTTGCCCAGCCTAGAATGAGTGCCGTGGCGTCAGCCTCGCTCACAGCAACCTCCAACTCCTGGGCTCAAGCGATCCTCCTGCCTCAGCCTCCCAAGTAGCTGGGACTACAGGCATGCACCACCATGCCTGGCTAATTTTTTCTACATATATATTAGTTGGCCAATTAATTCCTTTCTATTTATAGTAGAGACGGGGTCTCACTCTTGCTCAGGTTGGTTTCGAACTCCCGACCTCGAGCAGTCCGCCCACCTCGGCCTCCCAGAGTGCTAGGATTACAGGCATGAGCCACTGTGCCCGGCCATTGATAGACATTCTTAAAAGGACCTTAAATGGATATGCCAAACATGTGGCCAGGCATGGTGGCTCACTCCTATGATCCCGGCACTTTGGAAGGTTGAAGCAGGAGGATCACTTGAGGTTAGGGTTTCAAGATCAGCCAGGTCAACATAGTAAGACCTAACTCTCCAAAAAAAAAATATGTACACCTGTGGTCCCAGCTACATGGGAGGCCAAGGCAGGAGGATCACTTGAGCCCAGGAGTTCAAGGCTAAAGTGAGCTGTGATCACACCACTGCACTCCAGCCCAGGCAACAGAGCAAGACTCTGTCTCAAGAAAAAAGAAACCGGCTGGGCGTGGTGGCTCACGCCTGTAATCCTAGCACTCTGGGAGGCCGAGGCGGGCGGATTGCTCAAGGTCAGGAGTTTGAAACCAGCCTGAGCAAGAGCAAGACCTCGTCTCTACTATAAATAAAAAAGAAATTAATTGGCCAACTAATATACATAGAAAAAATTAGCCAGGCATGGTGGTGCATGCCTGTAGTCCCAGCTACTCGGGAGGCTGAGGCAGGAGGATCACTTGAGCCCAGGAGTCTGAGGTTGCTGTGAGCTAGGCTGACGCCACGGCACTCACTCTAGCCTGGCAACAAAGTGAGACTCTGTCTCAAAAAAAAAAAAGAAAAAAGAAACCCAACAATTAGGCATTAGTATTTTATGGATAGTTAAATTATAGATGGATTTTACCATTTACCTTTAACAGAAGACACCATTATTTCATGTACCACCAAGAGGAAAAAACTTGCCAATTACCAATAAAATACCATCATATATGATGCATCCTGGGCAAGATTTTAAAATGGGAAATATTGCATTTTAATTGCCGTAGTTTTTAGTATACAATGAAAATATAGTGCCTCTGTAATCAGGAACAACCAGGATAAGCATTTAAAATAAAAGTCCCCAGGCATTCCTCAGCAGCACAACTGGCTGTACCTCCTGGTATTGCAGGGTGGCGTGTGACCTTATGATACTAGCCCGTGTGACCTCCCCACGTGCTGCGGGGCACAGCCTCATGACACCACGTGTCCTTTGCTTCCCGCACTGCCTGTCAGCACCGCGGGGCTCCAGGTCGGTCTGGAGATGCGTGATCAGTGGTGCAAGCTGTGAAGCTCCACAGGAGTGGGGAGCTGAGGAGGAGGGAAGAAATAGAATGTCACTTGCTTCAGGAGCATTAGGAGCATTTATTTTTTTTTATTTTTTTTTAAGTCAGAGTCTCACTCTGTTGCCCAGGCTAGAGTGAGTGCCATGGTGTCAGCCTAGCTCACAGCAACCTCAAACTCCTGGGCTCAAGCAATCCTCCTGCCTCAGCCTCCTGAGTAGCTGGGACTACTGGCATGCACCACCATGCTCGGTTAATTTTTTCTATATATATATTAGTTGGCCAATTAATTTCTTTCTATTTATAGTAGAGATGGGGTCTCGCTCTTGCTCAGGCTGGTTTCAAACTCCTGACCTTGAGCAATCCGCCTGCTTCGGCCTCTTTAGGAGCATTTATTAAGCTCTTAATCTTGTTCAGGCGGGGGGGTTGTCTTCTGTTCTCCCTCTTTTTTCTTTCTTAGCAGAGGAAGAAAGTGAGGCTTACTTAGTCAAGCGAGTTCTGTCTTTGCCCTGACCTTTGGCTGCAGCGCTTGCATGGTTTTTATTTTTCGTCACTGTCCATTTGGGAAGGCCGTGGCAAGTGCCCGCGTTGCTTCTCACGCTGCTCACCCGACCCGACATACCGCGGTGGCCAGCGCCTGTCTCCTCCCTCAGGTCACTACTACGTGCCGCTTCTGAGAGCAGAAGACACTTCCTCTCCGGTCATCGGGGAGCTGTGGTCCTCGGACCAGGCGGCCCAGTCCTCTCCTGGGGGCCGCTGTGGAGGCAGCCCCAGAGACCCCGTGCTGACCCTGAGAGCCTTCGCAGGGCCCTTGAGTCCGTCCAAGGTGAGCTGCTGTGGAACCTTCTGGCACCAGCTCCTGGCTGGGCCACACTGTACTGGGTGTTCTAGCCTGTTGCTTTGTGCCTGGGCTTAGGAACCAGGTCCCATGGAACCTAAGGTCATCCTCTTCCAAAACCAGCTCCCAGTGAGCCGGTGACGGGCTCCAGGACATTTGCCAGACAGATGTGTTCCTGGCCGGTCACCTGCTCACCCAGCACATGCTGAGAGGCCCACACTCCTCAGTGCAGCTCGGTTGCCTGGTCAGACCTCGGCTGTGCCTGGGTAATGCCTGTTCCTCCTGTCCACGTCCGGGACCTCCTCACAGCACCTTGCCGGTCTAGCGAGGCTGCCCCCATGATCAGGAAACTTCTGAGTGCAGGGTGAACTCCAGACCGAGTTTCTAAGGCCCCAGCTCCCGCCCACGTCCTAGCAAATGCTTTGTCACCTCCCTCTCCCGGGGGGCCCTTCCTGGTGCCCAGACCTCAGCCCCTTTGGGCTCCACCTGCATCCCTGATGTTCATTAAATCCTCGGTGGTGGTGTTGCTGGGTCAAAGGGTTATGTGCATTTTTATGCCAGTTTTACATTTGATAATTCTTTCTCCACCTGAAATATTTCATGCACTGACCTCTATGTAATATTTTTTTTTTTGAGACAGAGTCTCACTCTTGTTGCTCCGGCTAGAGTGCCGTGGCGTCAGCCTAGCTCACAGCAACCTCAAACTCCTGGGTTCCAGCAATCCTCTTGCCTCAGCCTCCCAAGTAGCTGGGACTACAGGCATGCGCCACCATGCCCGGCTAATTTTTTCTATGTATTTTTAGTTGGCCAATTAATTTCTTTCTATTTTTAGTAGAGACGGGATCTCACTCTTGCTCAGGCTGGTCTCGAACTCCTGAACTCAAAGGATCCTCCTGTCTCGGCCTCCCATAGTGCTAGGATTACAGGCGTGAGCTACCTCGCCGGCCTTCTATGTAATCTTGTACTAAAAACTTTCTGAATAAGTTGTTATCTGCAACTATAAAAATGTCTTGAAAATGAGGGGGTATCAGGATTAGATCAGCTCCATAAAACTTAGTAAGAGCGACTCAGAAAGATGAATGTTTATTTTTTCTCTTGTGATGGGAAGAATGTTGTATGTGTGGTGGGGGGCAGTAGCTCCAAGACACCTGCTGTCCCCAGGGCGAGGCCTCGTGCTGAGGCCCTTCTGGTCCAGATCTGACTCTCACAACCCAGAGCGGGCCGCTGGAAAGAAGAAAGCCCCTCCCTGACAGAGCAGAAACCCCTCCCTCAGCTGCAAGTGCAGTCACTCTCAGCTACAAGATGGGTGGGCCCGGGGTTCTGTTAACGGGGGGTGGCAAGAAGGATGTTGTGAGACAAGCAGATTCTGCAGTGCTGGCGGTTCTTTTAAGTCTCCCCAGGTGAGTTGCATCTCTTTTTCCCCCCTTTTTCAGAGATGGGGTCTTGTTCTGTCGCCCAGGCTGGAGTGCAATAATAGCTCACTGCAGCCTCAAACTCCTAGGCCCAAGCCATCCTACTGCTTCAGCCTCCTGAGGAGTATCTGGGACTGCAGGTGTGCACCACCACGCCCGGCAAACTTTTTATTTTTTTTTTAGAGATGGGGTTTTGTTATGTTGCTCAGGCTGGTCTCAAACTCCTGGCCTCAAGTGATCCTCCCACGTGGCCTCCCAAAGTGCTGGGATTACAGGCCTGGGCCAGCACACCCACCCATGGCATCTCTTAATACACTTTTCTCTTCATAGGCAGAAGATTTTCGCAGACTCTGGAAAACTCCACCTCGAGAGAAAGCAAGCTACTTTCACAGTATCAGGAAATCTGACCCGGAGAGAGGCTTTGAGAGAGTGGGAAGGTAGTTAAAGGGCCGTTGCGTGAAGTCGTAAAGGCTGAGATGGGGAGCTGTGTGGTTGCGTGCTGGGTGATGGCGGGAAATCTAGAGTAGGAGTTACCTGCTCTACTCGGCTGCCTTCAGAGTAGGAGTTTCCAGGAACCGTTCACTCGAGCCTCTTCGAGGTTGCTTCCTTACAAACATTGCACGTGACGCAATGCGTGTTGCAGAATTAACTTAGAGCAGTCCCTTCCCAGACCTCCGAGCAGTTCTGTAACATATCTCTAAGGGACGTTACTATTCTGTGTAAGGCACTGTATGAATAGATGTGTCCTTGGGAAAAAAAGAAAACCAAACATTCCTCCTCTGTTTAAAACACAAGAGGCAGGTGTGGCTAGAAACCTGTAAATTTTTTTTAAAGTCCCTGAAAAAAATGGCCATAACCACAAAGCTGAATTACGTTTTAATCAAGTAAAGCTTCATGGGATTGTTTAGAACCTTTTCTCAAAATATGTGCCCAGTTTCAAGTTTACAACTTGAACCTGAAAAAGATGTCTAAATTTGGCCCAAACGGGAATCACATGCAGCTTCGTAGAGCTGCTCTGTGAAAATGGAAAAGTGCGTCTGTCGGTGCAGTCCTGCTCTTTGACCTGTTACTGCTGAGGCGTGCTGGTGTGAGACATGTTTGGGCTGAAGTCTCCTCCTGTCACGCTGCTGTGTGGCAGCCCCTCACGGGAGCACCGCTGGGTCCCACCCTGTTGGGAAGAGTACTGTTTTAGAAAATGCAAATTACTTCAGCCCCAAATTTAGGGTAAAATTTATAACCAAGATCACAACCAAGATTATTCTGGCACTTAGAATATCGGTGGCTATTTTCTGTACAGTCAGTTCTCTGAGCAATTTTTTCTGTTTTTTTACCTGGTTAATTGTGTTTTATTTCTTGCAGGGATCTAGCTCATGAGCTGGGGTATCCCTGGGTTGAATACTGGGAATTTCTGGGCTGTTTTGTTGATCTGTCTTCCCAGGAGGGCCTGCAAAGACTAGAAGAATATCTCGAGCAGCAGGAAATGGGCAAAAACGCTCAACGAGAAACAGGAGGAAAGAAAGCCTGCTGCAGAGACGGGGCCCTCACCTCTGGTACGGAGGAAACACACGTCTGGGGGTGTAGGTGTATGTGAAGGTCTGGTATGGAGGAAGCACACGTCTGGGGGTGTAGGTGTATGTGAAGGTCTGGTACAGAGGAAGCACACGCCCGAGGGGTGTAGGTGTATGTGAAGGTCTGGTACAGAGGAAGCACACGTCTGGGGGTGTAGGTGTATGTGAAGACTATGGCATCACTTCAGGCAGTGTTGCTATTTCTGGTTTTGTTTACCTTACTCAGCGTGTTGAGTAAAGCTTCATCAAGTGCTATTTTATAAAACATATAATAGCTGAACTCTACTGGCTGGGACTCTGTAATATCTTAGATCTGTCATATTTTCAGGGAAAGATCAGGAGGCCCTCATACCAGAACACTGGTGTGTGTTTATCAGAAATCAGGGTGCCAGAGTAAGAAAAAAGACAGAAATGCCCCAAATATGAAGTGGGCAAAGGAGAAGAAATTATCCAAAGGAAATAAGTGTGTATCTCACTAGTAATAAAAAAAAATCTACCTTTAGAACACAGTGAGGTAGCACTGTAAAATCGCAGACCAGTGAGGTGCCTTTGTTTCTACCTGCCCTTTTCCAAGGAATAACGCAGTGATTTTCTATCTTGAAATCTGAAGAGGAGGTTTTGAATTTAATGTGTTGCTTGGGTCGTAGGAATTTGTAACGTGCTTGAGTGGGACAGACCGTTTGTGGTTGCTGGTGTTCACACCACTCATGTTCTCCTCTGTCGTCCTCACAGGCAGCGGGAAGACCTGTAGCAATTCCATCTCCGTGGGGGCGTTTCTAGATGAAGATGATAGAAGCTTCGAAGAAATTAAAAATCTGCAAAATATAGCTCGAAACGCCAGCCAGCCCACAGTCAGTGCTTCTGCAAGCCCAGGTTGCAGCAGCCTCCCCGTGGAGCAGAAGGCGGACTTCATAGAAGCCTCAGAACCGGACAGCCCCCACGGCAGCAGAAACGGGTTTTGCAGTCCTCTGAGTCACGAGACGCTGGGTGGGAAGAGGCCAGAGTCCCCCAGCGACGAGGAAGCATTTCTGTCACCTGTCTCTGGTTTGAGTGCTGAGTTTGATAAACTGAATTTGCAAAATCTAGGAAGTAGCTTTTGCAAGGCACCAAATAAAAATATGAAAACTAAAGATAAGGACATCCTGACTTCAAGAATGGACCCAGTAGAAAGTGACTTGTTGGCACCTCCTGCTGCAGACGGACTCGGAAATAACCAAAGACCGACGGAAAGTGAAATGTCAGCTGGAATTGCTAAGATGTCCTTGGGTCCCAGCAGCCCCGGGCGGGAGACCCCGAGTGGGTGTGGCCCTCAGTCTCCCGTATCCGCCCCCACCTCAAAGGAAACCGTCCAGAGGCTCTTCCTTTTTGGGTAGGTGTGTGCTGCTGTGTGCACACATGCGGCACTGTTTCTAGTTCCTTTTAAACCCTTTCTTTTCCCAGTTTGATATGACATTTGCTTTTGGTCCACATATCTGGTCTCCAGTGTGTGGCTTCTGAATGCTCCTTCAGGGACCTCTTCAGTTAGCTGGGGGTGATTCCAGTGTCTGCTGTTAAACCTGCTAGGGAAGTAAATGCTACCAGGATGATTGGGTCTATTTCAAGACTTCAGTTTGTTTTCAGAAGAAAAGCCATCTTGGGGACAGTCTCAGTATTGCAGGTGATGTAAGTCCCCAGCCATCTGGTATAGAATGCCCCCAAAGGTGGAAATATACAAAAACCGTTTTTGTTTGTTTTTTAGAGTAAGACAAGCTCTTGTTCTTTCTCCCTGGCTGGAGTACAGTGGTGTCATGATAGCTGATTGCAACCTGAAACTCTTGAGCTCAAGCGATCCTCCTGCCTCAGCCTCCTGAGTATGTGGGGCTATAGGCATGTGCCACCATGCATGGCTAATTTTTGTATGTTTTCTAGAAACAGGGTCTTGATATGTTGCCCAGGCTGGTCTTGAACTCCTGGCCTCAAGTGATCCTCCTGCCTCGGCCCCCCAGAGTGCTGGGATTACAGGCATGAGCCACTGTGCCCAGCCCCTAAACCATATTTTAATAGCAGGGGTGGGTCTTGCTACTGTAGGAGACCTAAGCTGGTGTTCTGGAGGTGTCTTTTCTCTGCCCCCTCCTGCACTCTGTGCATAGGACAGTGCGTCCTCATCCACCTCCTTCTGCACACGGCCCGCACATCCCTGCAGCAGACGCCCTGAGATCCCATTGCTCGTTCAGTAGTTCATGTGCTCAGGCCGGATAGATTCTTGCACATCATTTTGTTTGTATTGGGGTTCTTGAGTTAAAATTGCAGTGATACTTTGGAAGCCGTTTTTTGTGTTTGTTACCAAAGTGGTTTCTGTTTTTTTTTTTTGGAGACAGAGTCTCACTTTGTTGCCCAGGCTAGAGTGAGTGCTGTGGTGTCAGCCTAGCTCACAGCAACCTCAAACTCCTGGGTTCAAGCGATCCTTCTGCCTCAGCTTTCTGAGTAGCTGGGACTACAGGCATGCACCACCATGCTTGTAATATTTTTTCTATATAAGTTGGCCAATTAATTTCTTTCTATTTATAGTAGAGACGGGGTCTCACCCTTGTTCACACTGGTTTCGAACTCCTGACCTTGAGCAGTCTGCCTGCCTTGGCTTCCCAGAGTGCTAGGATTACAGGGGTGAGCCACTGCACCTAGCCTGTTTCTGCTTTTTCTTGAATCTCTTTTATTCTGCTTTCTAGAGAGGAGCCATCAAAACTAGATCGAGACGTGTTGGCGGCTATTGAACGTGTAGACGTTGACCCTCATCACTACCCAGCCGTCCACAGGTGGAAGAACGCCGTCCTGTGCTACTCGCCTGCAGACAGGCAGAGGTAACAGCGGGACCCCAGAGAACCGTCTGACTGTGACAGGGTGGTTGCTGGAAGGAGCATCAGGGATGGTCATGTGAACATGTTAGTGGCTCTTCCGTGACACTGGCAGTCCCTTAGCCAGGCTCACACGAGCAGCTCCCTCGCCGGGGGCTCTGCGCACCCAGGACAGAGCTCCAGTCAGGTGGGAAAGCAGCCTGGGTCTGCTGCAGAGAAACTGAGGCTACAGGGCTGGAAGCAGCCAGTGTGTACACTCGGCGTCACGTGCAGTTCTCGTGGAAAATCCACACAAGATTTAAAATTTCCCAGTGCCCGTGGTTCTGAGTTCAGAAGTGCCTCTTCTCTGTCAGGGCTCAGGTGCCCAGGCCCTGCCTCTGTCCTCCCTGACTGCACGTCTGTGCTAACAGACCTTCCTTGGTTTCCCTAGCTGGCCGAGCCCCGCACTGAAAGGAAAGTTCAAGTCTCAGTGGCCGGATGTCGGGGGCCCGCACAGCTGCAGCCCCGGGAGAAGCGGTCCTGCCGGAAGCAGCCCTGGGAAGCCCGGCCATGCCCCCTGCTTCCCCGGCCTGGGCAGTCCTGGGCGCCACAGCCCTGCACACGGGAGCCACCTCCGCAGGACCACGCGCCTGGCTGAGCTTGCCGCCCTATAGGGTCGGTACTCGCTACTGGGCTCCTGCTTTGCTCTCCATTTTTACAGAAAGGGTAATACATTTATTGCTAAAATTTCACAAAAGATTATATTCTGATTAACTTATTAATCTTCACTTTGAGAGTGTACGAACTTTAGAAAATACAAGTATTCTATGTAAAATTTAGATTTCTGGTATGTTGGAAGAAGTTAATGAAAGCAAACTCAGATACAAATTTTGTGGAAAATGTCGATGTAGTAGCGGTACAGACCTCTCAGGTAGCAGTTCCCAGGTCTGGGACATAAGAGGAGGGGTGCGGAGGCCATTTGCTGATGGGTCGTGTGCTTGCCAGACCACCTGGGCAGATGCTCCAGACTCGGAGGGAGCCGCTGAGTCGTCAGCACTGGCGTCCCTGCAAGGTCAATCGTGGGTCATCTCGCCTTTTCCTGGGGGCAGCTCCTAGACTGTCTGGTCCACCATGATGCCAAAACCCTAGGTTTGCCGGTTGACCCTTGTGGTTTAGACAGAGGAAGGAGGTAGATGGCAGGGCAGCAGTGAACCTGGAGTATAATCTGGGTCATTGAAAACGTTTAAATTATTGACCAGAAGATAAAAATAGCTTTTCTCTTAGGAAAAGTCTAGCCATTGGGAGTTTCGCAAATAGTCCCACAAAACTCACCAGCAATAATGAAAAGGTGTTTTATTTTTCACCAGCACTTGAGCTTTCAGTCTACTTTATTTAGTTGCCAATGTAGTGATAATAAAATAATCTGTAAATAGTTTCCTAGTTTTGAAATTTATTCTTAGGATTTGCTAAGCATAAATGATTATATGGCCAACTATGGCAGATATGTCCTTTATTTTAGAATTCATTCCAGTTGGGGTTTCCTTTATAAAAGAGTATTGCTTTACAGTGCAGAAACCACAAGTTTGAGTCCCGTTTCAGTTCCCTGTAACGCTTGTTGCAACCTCGGCCCTCGGCCCTGGCCTGGGGAGGGTCTGCGGCGTGTGTGGGGAGCAGGGGACAGAGCGCAGCACCGTGTGCCCAGCACTCCCCGGAAGAGCTCACCTGGTTGAAGGCTGATTTCCTCCTGGGTGTCACAAACAACTGCTCACACACAAGCAGTATTTTGTGAGCATTTCTAGTGTTTAATCCAAAAGGAAAAACTGCCAATGTTTTTGCTAACTTCAGTGCCTTTTGTAAATCATTTTTAATTTTCCTGAACTTGCTTTTTGAGAATATACAGTGATACTATGTAGGTGTAAGATTGTTTTTTGTTTGTAAAAATTCTGAACTGCAATGTGTATTAAAAAAAAAAAAAAAGCTTATTTCAGCCAAGCACAGTGGCATGTACCTGTAGTCCCAGCTACTTGGGAGGCTGAGGCAGGAGGATTGCTTGAGCCCAGGAGTTGAAGTCCAGCCTGGACTACACAGCAAGACCCTCAACTCTTAAAAAAAAAAAAAAGCTTATTTCTTTCAAGTGATGAGAGACAGGTCAGGAAAATTGAAATCAAAATTTAAATTTTACAATTCAGAAGTCTGTTACACAGGGTGTTTTTCATTTGTTGTGTTGCAGATAAGATCTAGGTACAAGACAAATGACATTCTATTCTAAAAAGCAGCAGCATTTTAAAAAGGCATCTTTGTTCTCAAAAGAAATCAGAATATGGATATTATATTCATAGTGATGATCTGTTTTCTCTAGAATCTTACCATATTGTCCTGTATATTATTGTAAATATTCAAATCGAAATTAAAATGGTGTTTCTGCCCTCGTTTTACAGACTGCTGCTCCTGTTTCCCCAGTTTCGCCTGTGACTGTTTCTCCTCTGTCCGAGGTGGCCAGTCCCAGCGAACGCACAGTTACTTCTGAGCCTCGGAAAGCTCTCTCGCCTGTGCCTGGCACATTGGCCTTTTTAGTAAAATCTAAAGCAGCATTTTGATGAAATGGCACATTAATCCGAGCACTCAGATTTATTTTCTGTTTTTGCCCCTTTCCTAGCATGGTTATGAAAAACTTTCTGGCTTCAGTTCAGTGAGCACAAATTTTGTATCTGCACTTGGCATGGGAACCTTCGTTGTGAGTCAGCAGTTGGCGAGTGAGTCTTCGGTTTGCAGGAAGTGTTGCCCGCACCCCGTGTGGGTGGGCTGCCGAGGGGCGCTGAGCCTGCTGTTTGTTCCTGGGGAGAAGAAAGCTAGGTCCTCGTGAGTAATGTTTGGATGTTTCCAGAAACTTCCACAGCTTTCAGAGGGAAGGACCGCGGAGCCCTTGTTGGGGCCGGCGTCAGCACTGTCTTCCCGAGCCAAGCCTTGCCTACTGGGCTGTGGAAGGCACGTGCTTTTGCTTGTCTCATGTCAAAATCCCGTAAGTGTCTCTTACCTTACAGATTGCACTTGGTTTTGGTCCTTTCTCAGCTGTCTCAGAAGAAAATACTCTGGCACACACAGCAACACAGTTGTCGGCAGGAGCCAGCTGTCGTCCCCTGGCATGCCACACCCACTGGTGGCACTCAGGTTCTGGGTGCAGTTTGCATCAGATGTAGGGTGGTGTTGCCGATCTTTGGGGAGTCTTCAAGCATCTGTCCCCAGCGTGGGCTCACCCCTGTCCAGGCATCCACAGTGTATGCCTAGACCCCGAAGCCTGGCATCTGGTGGGTGCCTCACACCCTCCTCCCTCCAGAGGGCGTCTGCCCTTCCAGATGTTCGACTGCCCCCGGCACCTCCTGAGCTAGAGACTGCCCTCACTCTGCCAATGCCAGGTCTTCCCAGACATAGTGGCTCCGTATCTGGCTGGAAAAAGCCATTTAACCCTTTGCACGTGCTTGCTTTTTTCTCGATTCCTTTATTCTACTCGGGATTTAATTTTTTAAATACCCCAAATTTTACAAAGTGCAGCAGTAGAATAAAAAACTGGAGTTTCTTTTCATACAAACTTCTATAATTTTTGCTAACTGTTGAGTCACACTCGACATCCGAGTGCAAAGGGTTAAGGAAAAGCCACTTAGAACAGCACATGTTTTATGGTGAATAGTGGAAAACAAAGTTTGCTGGCAATTTATATTAGAATTTATATTTAATACTAAAATTAAACGTTCATATTCAAGAAAATATAGGTTATAATTGCTATGTGCTCTTAGAACGGATCAAACACTGAGTTTTCTACATAACTTTTCAAAGTCTAAAAGCCCAATTTTACATCCTTAACTTCAAATTTAACTTGGGCAGCACAATCCTAAGAGTATCCTTTTGGGGTTTTTGCAGAAGCACTGGAAGACTGCTGGGTCACTGGTTTCTTGTGACCCGTGGATTAAAAAACACTGTTCTCGTGAGGTCTCCCTCCAGCCCCTCCTGTGGACTGGCCAGTGTGTCCAGTCATCCCTCGACAGGTGTTGTCTCCAGCTGGAGTTGGATTCACACGAAACCCCACAGCTGCTGCCACGTGGAGACGAGAGGGAGCGCGGGGTGGGGATCGGGCCTGCCGACTTGCGGTTGTTTCACGTTAGGAAATCATCACTGGGCGACGCTGCCTGGGTGCCCACGAGCGTGGCGTGGCTCCAGCCCAGGGTCCCAACTCAAAGCTGAGGCTTTTCCTACAGTGCTGCCCCATTTGCTGAGGTCTGGTGTCAGGGGCTTTGACGCGCAGGGACTGGACCGCCCTTCACTGCCCTGGGAGGCCACGGCTGTGACCTGGGGCATCCTTCCCATCTGAGGTCAGAAGTGAGTGTGAGACCACTACCTGTGTGTTTTTGAAGTTGGCACAGTCTCTGGCTTGTAAAAACTAGTTCTAGAAAACGGTGCACGGTTGCTGTGGCTGTTAACAGGCTTGCTGTCCTGGTCGAGGACACGGAGAGGTCCCAGGCCACTGGCGGGAGTCCTCTGAGGACAGCCGAGCAGACATAAGAGCCTTCTGGTAACACCACTCCTGTTTGTCACACTGCATGGGTTTCCCGTTTTCTTTAAATGACAGTCACAATTAGTACTTTTTAAAAACCAATAAAATTTTATTATGTATCCATTTCCAAAGTAGACAGAGAAATAGATCTAATATCCCAGTTAGTTCCACTGATTGCAGAAAATGTTCATAACCACTTCATAGAAATTGTACTGTTTTTCCTAAATTAACAGAATATTTGGAATAGATACATCATGTCTGAATATTTTAATCCATGAGCATTAAAGATTAACTAGAGGCAAACTGAGATTGAGCTATGAGTCTGGGATGGTTTGTTGAAATTGGACACCCCCCCCATCCCCAGGCTGTCACCAGCTGCACCTCCCCTGAGACCAACACAGAGGTCAAGGTCGAGTCACCTCCACAGACTGTTTCCTCCCTCACCTGTCCAAGTCCACCTGTGCAGCTGGCAAGTCCTCATGCCCCGGAAGTCCCAGTAAAGTAGGTGATCAGACCCCACGGTGTCGGGATCTGTAACTTTGGAGTGAGGAATTGGTTTTCAAAGCAAGAACCCAGACAAGGAAAATCTTTAATTGACAAATACCTAAGTGACAAAGGGTTTTAAGAAACAAAAGAATGTGTGAAGTAAAATGAGTTGTGAGCAGACCCTTGTGCCTGACGGGTTCCTGGCGGGGGCCCAGGGTTGTCCAGAGCTAGGCCTCGCTCAGTCCCAAACGGGCCTGCCTCCTGTCCGAGGCTCCACCTCACCCCCAGAGTCATCCTGCCGCCCCCCTCCCCGTCATCCCGGCAGGTCACAGGAAGGTAGAAAACCATGCAAAGAAGTCAGGCTGTCTCATCCAAATTTTCCCCTTTGCAGCCTGGGCCAGGAATAAGTACCCAAATGCAGCATTTTAGGTATTTCTGCTTTCCTGCCGGCCTCTTCCTCAGAAACAGCACGTAACTGCAGCGCAGCCTGTGCGGGGAAGACGGAAGGAAGCCCCGGCCAGAGCCAGGTCTTGAGCTGAGGAGGAGGGTGCAGCTGGGCGGACAGCCCTCAGGACCGAGTGATCTTGTCGGGGGGCATGAACCCTGTGTCACCAAGGGCCCTGAGCGCCACGCGGCCATTGGGTCGGATCACCAGGTGGGTGATGCTGCCGTTGTTGAGGGAGAGGCGGAGCCAGCCTTCGGGAGGAAACTGCAGCGCTCTGGGAGGAGAGGGAGAGAGAGCACGCTGAAGCAAGGGTCTGTTCCTCACGGCGGGCAGTGGCTGGGGACGCTCCGCCGTGCTCCCAGACAGGGCTGGGTCTCGGCACACTCGGGGTGGGCCCCACGCCGGTTCAGTCTCCCGGCCAGGGGGTTATCAGAGGAAAGGGCTGCCCAGATAAGGGACCCGCCCCGCTTTGCGACTGGCCCCAACTCAAGATCTGCATGAGTCAGAAACATGTTTCTCACAAGCGGATGCAGTTTAACTCCTGCTTCCCCATGCGACGGCGGGAGGGCAGGCGAATGGCACAACAGACCCCTTCCTGGAAACTCACGTAGTAGCAGCTGCCCAGGAATGGACAGAGCAGTGACCCGGGGCCCATGCGTTCATGCTCTTAGCGGCGCCTTTTAGGCACAGTTAGTACTTGCGGAGCAGCTCAGTGCTGCTCCCACCTCCCCCGTCCCTGGCCGCCCCACGCCTGCCCGCTGTCTTCCCAGCGGGGCGCGCTCCTGAGCAGAGCAGCACAGAGGACTGTCACGTGCCAGCTGCTGACTGACTGGCTTTCCTCACCACGCCTTATCTGGCACAGGTGAGCTGTGCTCTCAACTTCCCGATTACTAATGGTACGCTGTCAGGGCTGGTATCACCTAGAGGCCGTCAGGGAACATGTAGTAACACACTAATGTAGGCGCCAGAGTCACCCACATGGCTCGTTCGCGGGCACATGCAGAAGCGACGGGGACAGTTCAGGGCAGCACTGCAGCCCTGAGACCACGTCCCCCTCCCACCAGCAGCTTGAGAGTCCGGCCCCCACGTCCGAGTTTCTGGGGGCCGCTGCCCTCTGGACCACGGCGCTCCCCACCACCCGAGCGTCCTGCCAGGACCAGAGCCGACTGACTCCTGAGGGGAAGTCACCATCACAGCCCTGGGGACAGGCCCCCGGGACACGCAGGCAGAGACCCAGGTCCTGGCTCCAGACAGCATCGCCGCCAGGTGTTGTGCTGTCCTGCCACTGCCACCTTGTCCTCACGAGAAGAGAAACCCTCCACTGCTGAAGCCCAAACACTGTCTACTGGACCCACAGGGGACAAATCTGGCATTTAGTGAGATCTGGTCAATCTTTTTGCCTGTTTCAAACTCACAAGCATGTAACTGGCCTCGCCACCCAGGGGCCTCTGTGACGTGGCAGATTCCGGGGCCGTGGCAGGGAAAACACAACCTGAGCCTGGAACATTCTGTGGT